TCTCAGTTTATGCTTTATTTCTCGATAAGTTAGTTCCAAAAATGTTGCCTATGTTTCATCAGAAAACATTGAAGATTTCTAGCGAAAAACTTTCGAGTGCAAAGGGTTAAATTCTTTGAATCGACATCAGTTCACTCGTGTAATTGTCTTCAAGCATTTTGGAAGCTACAGTCATCGGTGAGCACCGTGTAGGTCAACCTGTTAACGTTAAAATACAGAAGAACACGGAACGTGTTACTCTCGCCGAAGTCTTTACAATCATATTTCCTCGTAAATCAATGAAAATAAGGGATCGATTGCAGATTATCTTAATTATCAAAAGAAAACCTTGAAGAGAAAAAGATGAAGAAAACGAGAACGAATGGGACGCGAGAGAAACGATCATCCACGATTCAACGCAGATGTGATACCGATGCGCTATCACGTAGGATCGCCATGCACATGCTTCGTTTACATGGAGTCAATCGCGACGGCGCAATTTCTTTTTTGCGTTTGGAAGATTAACGGGTGACAAAAGACGCGTCACGGGATGTCGCAATCGACACGGACAGCCGTGAAATTCTGTTCAACCGTTGCCTCGTTACGCCCGACTTTTTAGTATCTTTACTATCCGCGACATGCTCCACTCGCTTCCCAGGTGACGCGCATTACCTCCGCTGTGGAAAGAGCGGAATGTGCTAATTCGCGTACAAAGAGGATCTTTTCCTAAGAGACACATGCTTTTTTCACACGCGTTGCGTTGAAGTCCTAGAATAGACGAAGACAATTACTTTTTCCCTCCCTTCGCAATGTCTCATTATCAAAACGCGCTTCCTCTTAACGGACTCTCTAGCGTAGACTCACTGGTGACCACTTTGCGATCGGTTCGGGTTACCAATCAAACTCTTTGCTAACGATATTGACATAAGGAACGCGTCAAATGGACGTACACTAAATTCTATAAACATTACTCGGTAAACATTCATGTCAATTATGATTGATTCAGTCGTACGAATACGTGTCGTAACACTAGATTTACGGAACCCATCAATTCTACGGATATTGAATTTTTTAAATATTATTTAGTAACAATTTCAGTCGATTTTCATTCGTACTGGATTTGAAGCTACAATTCTCGCGATTTACATAGACGAACATATAGTCTTCTAAGAACAATAGAACGAAATGTAGAATGAACGTCCATAAATCTAGTGTTAATTGTCTATTTTAGAATTCCTAATTCCCAAGATCCGAGCGAACGGACGTCAACTTTTCTAGGAACACTAGAATAAATTGTACAATAAATGTCCATGAGCCTAGTGTTAACGTCAGTCCGCTTGATACACGGATCACCAAGGGTCTGCTCGTTTTCATGCTTCTACGAGGAAGAGGCGGCACCAACTTCAAATTCAGCGACCACGATTCTTTCTGCAGGCGGATGGCTCGCGGTCCTTTCGTGTTCGCCGGTAATTATGAAAGTATCGATTAGGACTTCCGTACATTGCCTGGAAGTCGCAATCGTAAAATCTACGAACACGCTTATCCTTAAGCGTGTTCCTTGCGGCGGCGGTAGCTATTTCGCGGCAACCCGTGCCACGAGCTCGAGTCACGGATGCCAGAGATTCTCAACTATGAGAACTGGTTTCTTATGTGTTTGCCGTGTCGTTGCATCGAGCGTCACGTGCACGGCATCCCTCTCCGCCCCGGCGGTAAAACGATATCTAAAATGATTGCAACCTTCGCGTCGCGCCTCTTTCTACAAGTAATCGACTCCTCCCGTGGAACGATCGGCGCGGACAAGGAAAAGAACGGAGAAAGACGAGCGGGGACCTTCTTGAATTTTTTCGCTCTTCACGGTTGAGAACCCCCCGTCACGTGTAAAAATAGATGCTTCAACTGTTCCCTTCGGCGGGGGTCTCGATCGACACAGAATTCCCAAACACTTCGCCTCAAAAATGTTCTGGATCCCGCGAAGTGGCTTTCCGCGACGCGCTCCCGTCCCTGAGGAAACGAGTTCGTCAAGTTATATACGGTTACACGGTCGAAGATAATTCTTATCGACGAAAGAAGTGTAAATTAAAAAGCGGACGAAGTGTCGCATCAATGTTCGGTAAGTTTCCTTGGAAATTGATAAGGGGAAGCGTGTATTAAGTATACATACACGCTTCCAACTTCTTCCAGCGATACATTCGCATATGTTCACCCTTTGCACTCCGAAAAGTTTTCTCAGAAATGCTCGACACACTTCCCGATGAAATATAGAGAACATTTCTTGAGACTAACTTAACGAGAAATCCGTGAACTAAACGAGGCTGTTTCATTTGAATATTCCACGTATTAACGCGTGATACGAAACTTAATACCAAATGTTTAGACTTCATAATTCTACCGAATCGAACGGCGGTTGAGAGCCTATGGAGTGCAAAGGGTTAACTCTATCTTCCTACACTGACCAAGTTTAGTAAAATAAAACGACCGACGAATCGCTGATCGATGGTACTAACGTTTCCAATAATCGCATACATTATTTCCGGAGATAAGATGTTCAACGACCCGTGGTCATCAACGCGAGGTCCGCGAAATGAATACTTTTCGCGGAGACGTCTTCGCACGTGCGCCCCGTGCAGCGGTGCGCAGTCGCGAAATACGCGACCGTAATGGCTCAGATAAAAATAACGCGGCTACGATAAGGAGACGATACGCGGAATCAAGTGAAAAAGGTCGTAGGATCAAGAAGAGCCCGAAACGTGTCCGGTTAAATTACACGCGTCATGTAGGTCAGTGAATCGCAGCTCGAAATTATCGTGCATGAGTTACGCTATGCTGTTCTGGTCACGTATATCGCTCGACCACGAAAAAGAAACCGCTCGGAACCACCTCGCGTTTATTTATTATGCTCGGATCGCCTCGAACGCAAAACTTATCTTCACCGGACATTCAGGTGACCCAACCACTTACTAGGCTAGACTGAGGCGAATCGGATCCTCTTTTCTTTACCAGTAAAGAACTAAATACACTCAAACGTTACTAATAATAATAAAATATTAAATAAAATTTTTTAATCTTTCTTTTGCAATTAACACTAGGTTCATGGAACGCGTCGATTTCACGCATATTAACACGTTGACTGCCACGGCGGTCATCGATGACCGGAGCTTCCAAATTACAAGATAATCATAGCTCGTAAGATAACTAATGTCGAATCAAAATACTCAGTAGCGTAAGTAACTAGATAATGGTGTAACGTAAGAATTCAGATAGGAAATAATTAATAATTTTTCCTCTTTATCTTTGTTACAGAGAGAATAAGTAATACATAAAACGCTGATGTCTTTCGTGGCAGTCAACGTGTTATTACAAACATTATTTAGTAAATGTTTACGTCGATTTCGATTGTGGTGTAGACAGGTATACAAAAGTGTTTTAATTGTTCATCTTCGAACCTCTAATTTCCAGAATCTAAACGAACATCAATTTTTTCTAAGACCAATAGAACAAAATGTAAATGTTTGTAAACCTAGCGTTAAGAAGCAAGAAACCAGAAATATAATTTACGGTATAACAAATATAAACTGGATTCTCGTTTCGATCAGATTCGCCCGGTGGTCCGATTCGCCAAGGTCTATCCTGTATCCATAGATCCTGAAAGTTCGCGCGATTAATTCCGGTCATCGCTGACTTACATCCGGCGTCTAATAAAGCGCAATACGTAGCGCGAAATCAACTACACACGTACACCGTTATCCATGAACGTCAAATGGTTCCACGGGCGAATCGTAACAGACACTCCACCTAACCGGTGAGCAAAAAGTACGCGACCACCGCCATTTTCATACTTCCCGCGGATCGCTCGCCGAAATGAGTCGGCGGTTTAGGCGTTTATCTTCGCTACGTTCGGCCGAATCACGCCACACGCACACTGCAACGCAAAACATTGACCATACAGGGATCGACGATCGTTCCCGGCAAAAATACGATTACTCCCGGTGAACGGCGGTAATCCGTTAAACAGCGAAAACGAGTCTACTCGTCGTTTGTATTCATACGTGGTCCTCTCGTTGTTCGTATAGTATTCGAGCCACTCATTGACTACGTTAACTCCAGTTTTTGAATTTTATCAACCCTTCGCATTCGGGAGGTGACTCTCACACCACTTGATTTGATACAGTAAAACTATGAAGTTGAATATTTAGTATTTTACATGAAACTTTGTATTGCTATGTGAAATATTTAAATAAAATAACTTTGTTGCTTAACTTATCTGTGAATTATCGTTAAATTAGCTTGAAACAATGTCGTTTATATCTCGTCGGAAAATGTTGAATATTTCTAGTGAAAAATTTATGCAAAGGGTTAAGATTTCACGGTCAACGCTCGATTGGCTCTTAACTTGTTATATTAACGCTTTGCATTTGAAAATTTTTCATTGGAAATATTTTAACATTTTTTGATGAGATAAGACGATATTTTATGGAACTAACTTGCAGAGAAATCATACCTACGTTGAGATACAAAGCTATATAATTTCAATATTTCTCAAATTGATGCGTTACATAAGGTGTAATATTAAATATAAAATTTAATAGTTTACAGTGTGAAATTAGATGATGAGTGAGAGTTACCTCTCGAGTGCGAAGGGTTAAAACAAATTCCCTTATCATTGAATTAAATATCATAAAATCAGATTCTTCTAGCCACGCGAAAATTGCAATAGTAAACATTACTTCTTGAATATACTATTCCCTGCGTTTCACACGCTAGCTGCACCTGTAATAATAAAGTGACATACATTCTCCAATATTTATCCAATCCTCGATTTAAAGGGAAACTTTAAAAATCAACGTATACTGGTGCATCACCTTTCTACGCCTTGTTTTATGGAGTCATTCGATTTGCCCAATGAGTGACTCGTTTAACGTCCATTCAAAGACACATGTAATGGAATAAGATCGTTGTTGTAATTATTATATCCATTTCAGTAATCCGGCTACTCCATTTTTCAAGTAAAAACGCGGGCTTACCTGTGAACGTACTCCCAACATCGATTGCGACAAATTTCACGTTTCATTGATCCCCGGTGTGCATTCTTTGCACTGCTTTGCACTGTTTCATGCGTGTGCATACTATGCATACGTGTATACATGTACAGTCCCGTGCAGCGACGACTTCACGACTCATTTCCGCGACGGCGTTTGATAAGAAGGAAATTGTAGAGTTTAACTGTAAAAACCGTCACGCTTCGGCCGCATCGTTATCGATCGATCGGTCGATCGATCGAACGGTTCTACCGAATATATTATTCCCACACTGCGGACCTTTATGCAAATTCACAGTGTTCGCGGGCTAACGTAAACGAGACCGTTCGATTATCGATCCCCGTCGATCCGAAATCTTTCGATTATCGATGTGATACGATTTTTAACCTTTTCAACCGTTCGAAGCGGTTATCTCGGAAATAACAATACCGATAACACGAGATACTGTCAATGTTGCGAGACTTACGTAAGTGCTCCTGGATGACAAGTGATTCAGGAATGCGAAACAGGTGAGAGGATTCGGACGATTTCGATCGTAGAACTCGGCGAGGTTAACCTGGCCTGCGCACGTTATCTATGTACACTGTGAACGTCACTGATCCGAGGAGAATAATAGAGGAGACACAACCGGCACAAGAGATCCAGCGTGCAACACTTGCTGCGAGGAACACGGGACGCGTTGACGCGACAACGTTCGCCGGTCGACTGCGCTGAGTCCTGTACAGCGCAGCCGATCGGGCTGCGTCGACAAACTTCGTGGGCTTTCGAACGCCGCGGCAAACTTCGCGCCCGTCCCGCAACCCGCGTTACGCGCGTGCCATTGGCGGAGATCTCTAATCGGCGGACTCTTCGAATTACGTAGGGGAGAATCGTCTATATCTTTCCATTTAAGATATTTTATGTTATACTTCCTACTCAGCGCTAATTTCTGCGTTAGTTACTGTCCGAGATATTCGCTTAAGTGTTCCTTACGATTGCATTCGTATTATGCATGTTCGCGAGATATTTAATACATTGACAAAGTTATAATGTTGGACGTTTAACATTAAGCTTTGCACAATGCATCAATGTGTTAAATATTAAATAAAACATCTTCGTTTCTCAGTTTATGCTTTATTTCTCGATAAATTAGCTTAAAAAATGTTGTCTATGTGTCATCAGAAAACATTGAAGATTTCTAGGGAAAAACTTTCGAGTGAAAAGGGTTAAATACTTTGAATCGGCATCAGTTTCACTCGTGTAATTGTCTTCAAGCATTTTGGAAGCTACAGTCATCGGTGACCACCGTGTAGGTCAATCTGTTAATGTTAAAATACAAAAGAATATTTCCTCATAAATCAATGAAAATAAGGGATCGATTGTGGATTATCTTAATTATCAAAAGAAAACCTTGAAGAGAAAATGTTCTAACTGCCACTACCATATTAATTTACAGTACTCAAGGAACCCACGATTTGGAACGTTGACAGTGTTCAAATTTAAATCATGAATTATTAAGACGTTGACTGCCATGGTGGTCACCGATGACCAGAGCTTCCAAATTGCTGAAGAACAATTACAATAAGAAACTTGATTTTAAATAAGAATATTTAGTAACATAAGTATGACTACTGTGATAGTAAACCATTAATAATTATTTTCAATATTATTTGCCTTTGTTATTAACACTAAAACTACTGAGCACTTAAACTGACTTTTTCAAATTCCCGTATATAAACTCCAAAAGTGCATCAATTAAGACTGTAACTGATTTCCAATTTAGTTTGCGCATTGTTACATCAATTTCTGTAATAATTTCTTAGAGAAACATCTGTTATTTTTTTGATAATTGCGAGAAAAAGAAATCAGGAATAGGTCGTTTTGAGTCGTCTAATAGTTTTAGTGTTAAAGAATAAGTATTACTATTCAAAACGCTGGAAATTCTCGTGGAAATCAACGCATTAATAATTTTTGATTTAAATTTGAAAACTGTCGACGTTTGATAACATGGATTCGTCGAGCATTGTAAATTTGTTGATGGGTGTGAGAATGTATGGAAATGAATGAAAGAATTGTTCGTTAACGTAGAGTAGATAAACGAATGAATAATTAATATTTCATATATAATATTAATTATTAGTCGTTTATTTGCATTTTAAAAATCGTATTTCTATATTCATGGTTTTTATCTTGATGTTTGTACATTGTAGTCTATATCTCAGAGAAAGTACTTCGTCAACCGTTTCGAGAACAGAATGTTTAACAAAATAAGTCGATATGTTTATACGTGCTGACTAATGTTAATTGAACGTGCACATTGCCGATGCAGGTTTACTATTTACGTAGGCGTTAGTGGAACGTGCATAGAAAGTTGTAAAAGGAAAAATGCGGTATGTGGGTAAACAGTGGGATAGCTCACCTCGGACGAACAAAGATCATCTCCGATTTCTTTCCACGTTGTTCCAATACGATCGATGAAAAATTGAACGACTGGTATAAACAATTCGTCAGCGTTCGTATTCAGCGAGATATAGGAGTGAAATAAGTATCCAAATACGGCCGTGAGTCATCGTAACTGTTTTCCACGCGCAACAAACACCTACAAGCAAATGGGCACGAATTAACCCTCTAGATCGCAAATCAAAATCTTTTGAGAAAAATACACTTTTCTTCGCAATATACGCTAACTGACTTATTATTTTTAACAAAAATAGACGTTTGTATGAAGAAACGCTATTCTAACTGTTAGAAGAATAAATTGTTACTGCTGTATCGATTTTATAACAATCGCTTCGTGATTAACACGTTCGCTACCAGTGCTTATTTCGGTGACGATCTCCTCAATTATAATTAGACTGCGGATTTTTCTGCATTTATGGGAAATCTGAAAGCGCAAAATTGCACAGAATGCACACGACACAAACAAATATATAAAACATCTAAAGCTTAGTGCTGTTCTTGACATTTCTTAGGAAAAGCCACTCTCCATTGCAATCCTGCTTTTCTAATTACGTTCTTGAAAATTTGAATCTGCATAAAGATCCGCAGCCTAATTATAATATTTTCTTCAATCCAATAAATCTTCTAAAGAAAATCTTAAAAAAATGAAACTGAAACGAGTCATTGAGTTCCCACATATAATATCGTAGTTTATCATTTCTAATAACAATATCTTTAAGATTAATTTCATTTTCATTATGTAAAATATAGGATTACGGCCGTCACAAATATGTGACGCTGATAGCGAACGTGTTAATCCATTGGTTTGTATTTTACTGGTACTGAAATATGTGATTTCGAAGCGATGCGATCGGGAAACTAAAGCTAAAATGAGCGGCTTCTGTTGTAATTCGACGTAGCGCCATTTGAGATCCATTCAGCGGTGGTGCAGGTGATTCGCAACCGCGAGCTAAATTAGTCCGACACGTAGTACCCGAAACGGAAGCTCTCGAAAGCGCGAGAATTTTACAAGTCGACGTATTCGATTTTTGAACCGGCCGTGTCGCTCGTTTCCTCCGACGGAAGGCGTAACCGCAAATCATAGAAACAACTTCGATAACGCGAAGTGGCAAAGAGCAAGCTCTTCTGTCCTAATCGTCGGTTATCTCTTAAACACGCGAAATATTTTTGAGGAATGAGAATGCGTCTATGAATATCGCTAGCTTCAAACACGATATCGTGTTCCACTGAACGGCCGCACGTTTCGATCGATGGCGGTGTCGTGACCAAACGAATTTTGCAATGCAAAGTTCCTTTTATCGTGTTTTCAAATTTCCAGAGAAAGCATTCTCGCGGCAAACATTACGTCGTTTGCGACTGATTTGCGTGCCGAGCGATTTTTTGAAAGTGGCGATCAGCTGAAGATGACAGCGCACCGTCAGAATTATTTTTAATCACCGATTCACCGGTGGACGGGGGAGCAATATAACTAACGATCCGCGATACGACGGATACGGTTCATCCTGCTCTTACAGTCTCGATCGAATTCTCCCGGCGATCGTATCTAATAATGCTGATAAGATAGGTGTTATCGAGAGCTACGTTTACTCGTGGCGTAATGTTTACGGTGCCTCGATTGCAGATAAATACTAACAAGTCGCGAAAAATGTATTACGCAAGCCTTCACGATTTCAGCAAATCGATGGAACTATTTCGCAATAGTTCTGAACGGGAGAAAAATCTAATGATAAACGGACCGCAGTTCAGAACTTCTCGACAAATGGGAATCGCGATCTTCATGATGAAAATTCTATACTTTTACTGCTTAGATCTTTTCCGGCCATTCAGGGACAACGATTCAACCTGAAATATGAATAATTCACTATTATATAGTCATAGGCTAACACATTTCCTTGTTGCCTTTCAATTTCAGCTGAATATCGTCTAACATATGTCTGCTTAATAATTACTTCAAAGGTGCACGGACATTGAACAACCTTGTTCATATGTGTATACACCAGATAAATTGCTTCCCACAACTTCGTACAATGGTAAATAAGCGGCAGTTACCATTTAAAGGGGCATGCAGAGCTTTTGTGGCCGAATATGTAGCACGGCAGAACGAATTTGCGCAGACCCGAGGATGACCCTGAGCAACGGACCCGAAGAGCCGCAGAAGGAACCGTGAATCTGTTGAAATCGTTTAGACTTTATTATGACATAATTCGTGCATTGTACGCGCGAATAATGAAGATGCCTTTCAACGATATCCGACCTAATAAAACCACCGACTGAAAGTAATTGCGAAATGATCGCGATGCGGAATGATATAGAAAGTTCATTGTGCAAAGACTCTTTATCGTCTAACATGGCAATCGGCCTAATAACGTATTGATAAATATCATCAGTCTCGTTTGCCCGTCAATCATCCTACATCCATTGGACCCACTGACGCAAAAGCTTTTTCACACCGGCTTCAACGCGTACGCGAACATAGAATTTTTATATTTCTCTGTTTTCCAATAGAAGATTCAATTTCCATACTGGACTATGCAAAATCTCGTTTACGGTTATTAGATGCGAGAATTTCAAGGTCGCTCTCAGTTTTTCTTCGACATGCATGGCACAAACAATAGCTGTCGTTAATTTCTTACAAGACACTTCCATGCAGCGTTGATGGTAATCTTGCCGTTCGATCTCGGAGATTTTATATTATTAACACTATTTCTACCGAAGGTGTCGAAGGACGCCTTTTGAAATTTTAACTTACAATTATTTTTCGATTTTAGTCGCATATTCTGAATTGACTTCTCGACTTTTCTAGTAATGATTATAAAATTAACTATAGGAAATACCCAAAATTCAATCGAGGGATAATGATTAACACGTTGACTGCCACGGTGATCATCGATGACCGGAGCATGAAATCACTTGAAAACAATGTTAATTTGTCAGATACCTAATATCGAATGAGATTGTTTAATAGCGTAAATAGCTAGATGACTAATAAATAACTGCTGTTCCTTATCTTTGCTACAAAAGAATAAGCGGTACACAAAACTCTGAAGGTTTTCGTGGCAATCAACGTGTTAACACGTTCGCTACCAGCGTCAAATATTTGTGACGGCCGTAATCCTATGTTTTACGTAATGAAAATGAAATTAATCCTGTGAATATTGTTATTAGAAATTAACTACGATATTATATTTGGGAACTCAATGACCCGTTTTGGTTTCATTTTTCTAATATTTTGTTTGGAAGATTTATCATATTGAAGAAAGTGTTATAATTAGACTGCGGATCTTTATGCAGATTCAAATTTTCACGAACGTAATTAGAAAAGCAGAATTACAATGGAGAATGACTTTTCCTAAGAAATGTCAACAACAGCACTAAGCTTTAGATATTTTATATATTTATTTGTGTCGTATGCATTCTGTGCAATTTTGCGCTTCCAGATATCCCATAAATGCAGAAAAATCCTCAGTTTAGTTATAATTGAGGAGACCGTCACCGAAATAAGCGTTGGTAGCGAATGTGTTAAACTGAGAAAATAATTTTAAGTTGAAATTTCCAAAGGTGTTTTGACAGCTTCGATAGAACAGTGTTAAAACCTGTAAAACATTTGAACGGAGCACGGCGATGACCATCGACTTTCATTGTATACACTCGGGAATACGGTTTCTCTCGCGGAGACCCCTTTGAAATCGAATTACGATGTATCGCGATCCATCTTAATGGAAGAATTCGCGGAGCGACCTATTTGCATCGTCTCGGTTTAAGCTCTTACAGCTGCACCGATGCAGAATTTCTCTGGTCGTTGGTGGCGCGCGCGCGGATCGTGTCAAGGCGAGTCACAGAAAACGAAACCGAGCTTTCAGGCGGCGTTAAACCGCCGGACAAACGGGCTAACGTCGCTAATTAAAGCGACAGTATTCGCGGCGAGCGCATACAGATTCCATTATGATTCCTAAGCATTTCCGAAGCGATGAGGAGAAGACTGTTAATTCGATGCGTTACCGCCGGTTAACATATAATTAACACGGCGACTACGAATAGGGCACGATGTTATTCTTGGTTCAAGACAGTCGTTAGGCTGCGACGTGACAAATGATGTTGCCTAGAGGAACAAACAGATAATTAACAAAGAGTCATTTGAATTACAAATTAATTACGCTTGATATAATGTATATCCACAAATTTATTTGCAGAGAAAAGATAGTTCTGCCTAGCAAATTGCTGTGCTACCGAATTCCTAGGGTTAGATGTAAATACAGTATTTAACTGTTGAATACAGATGAAAATTGTTTACCTGTTTTTTATGATACAGCAATCTAGATGTTTCATCTCACTCGTAATATCAGTTGCAATTCTAGAATGAATAATTTTCATTATTTATTCAATTCTCGTATGCTATTGTTAGCAGTAACAATTTGAATAACTTGTTGTGTAAATGAGTACTTGTATTATATTGTGTATCAAAGGGTATATCTGTTTCTTAATAAAATGAATAATTTTCGTTATTTATTCAGTCCTAGTGTGCTATTGTGAGCAGTAACAATTTGAATAATTTGTTCTGTAAATGAGTACTTGTATTACATTGTGTACCAAAGAGTACATGTGTTTCTTAATAAAACGAATAATGATAGTTAATTATATATCTGGTTTGCAATGAACTGTAGATAAGGTTTTCAGTGTATGCCCGCTAGACGAAAATAGTGTACGTGTGGATATATTATAATGGACGCGTGAAAACATGACAATAATGTTGGTCGCAGTGCAGTAATTGTTATGTAACACCAGCAGAGATCGCGACCCAGCTGGTATATGCACGAATACGTGACTCGGTTGACACGTACCACCGACTATGCAAATTTAAATGCAGGAAGATCCGTTCGTTAAACGTCCTGAAGGCCTCGCGAATGGCCTACGCGAATTTTTCAACCAACGCGACTTGAAGTAGCTGAAAAAATACAACTTTTACTCGGCGCATGATACTAAAGTCATTGTAATTAATTAATATACCTCAATTATAAATTCAATTGAATCATCCTTCGTCTCTTATAATAACTTATAGAGTTGACACGAATTATTTATTAATCTTATTCTTTTTATGTTTTCATATGCTTTTAAACAGAAAAAAGTAACGGACTTACAGAGTGTGAAAAGCTTTTCGTACGGAAATTGTGATATTGTAATTTATTTGCACAGTGAAATATGTTTTTATATTTTCATTGTTAAACGATCATTGTGCATCCTGTACGAACTTTCTAGACATGTATATTTATACAAAATTATTTCTCTCTTCCGTGAAGCGGCTCTTTGTCGTTTAAACTTAAACTTAAGCGATCTACTGGCAGAGGTCGCCATTATTTATCTATAATGAATCCGAAGTTTAAAATTTACTGAAAATTAAAAGAACTGTTCAGACAATTTGATATTTATGTTGAATTGACATTCAGTAGTGATCCCAGTATGTATGCTTACTTTTCAGTGTATGGAATCATAATTACTTACAATTTAACCGACTAAAGTGAGGTTGGTTTTTCTTGCTTAGAATATTATCTTCTCAAAGATGTAACATTGAATACACCTTATCTGAGTTTAATCTTCGAATCTTTATATGCTTCTTTTATCTTAGAAAGTAACATTTCCCTTGAGAATTGCAATTAAATATTGAATAAAGAATATATTTATTGGTATGTTCTTTACTGTTCAAATCGATCAAGGTAGCCAACATTACAGTGGAAATCTGATTGCACAACGACGGTCAATTTGTAAACCAATCACTTGCGAAGAAGTGCTTTATTCTATAAATTTTGTAATGATATAACAAAAAATTTATATTGTTATTATTGAATAATCGTCGTAACTCATTTCCCTTAAAAAATTCTATTTTAATAGTTTAAGAAAAGATGGATGAGTGGATATATAAGAATCTATCAGAATTATTAAATTTTCCTGTTACAGAAGAGTTGATACAGTAAGAAAATGAATTAAAATATAATATCATAAATAAATTTATACCATATGATTCGATGTTTTCAGATGTATCATGAAGATGCAAAATGAAAGGGATTTGGATGAGTACTTGAAGTCTTTACTAGATTGTAAAAATCCTAAACACAAGCAATTCATCACAGATTTGAAGAAACAACAAGGTTTATACATTAAATTAATTTAAAATACGTCATATTTCACAAATTAGGTATACTCATATCAGCTCTTTTTAGCATCCTACAAAGATCAAGGGTATAAAAAATCAACTAATGTAGATAATGAAAGTACGAAGCAAAATGGAAAGAAGAAAGGCAAAATGAAATCAAAAGAGAAACGAGAGAATAAGCAGGTACTTTAGAAATGTTCTTTTGGTTCTTTGAATTATAAAATAATCAATTATCATTTGCTTAGTTTCAAGAAAATATAAAGGTGGAAAAAGTAGAAAAGAAGAAAGTTAAATATGTTAATTTATATTCACAAGATGGCAAAGATAGGTCAACGGTTTTGTTAAAAGGTATTTTAAATATATAAAAATTTTAATTATACAATTCAGAAGAAGCTAATGTAAAAATATTTTACTAGGCAGACATAAATGCAACTGTGAAGCGAAAAAACATTCATTGATCAATAATTGCCTTAATTGTGGTAGAGTAGTTTGTATACAAGAAGGAGCTGGTCCATGTTTCTTTTGTGGAGAACTTGTATGTTCTCCAAAAGAACAGATGATCCTTTCAAGTACTACCAAACAAGCAGATCAGTTGTATAATAAGTTAATAAATCAGAAACCTGTGAAAGGATTAGAAGATTCCATTAAACAAAGAGATAAACTTCTCGAATATGATCGTGTTGGGTATGTACTATACAATAATTCTTCTTGAAAAAGATAATAATTACATTCATTACAGTACACAGGGTACAAAGGTAATTGATGATGAATGTGACTATTTTCAAACAAGTAACATTTGGCTGTCAGCTCAGAAAAGAGAACAACTACAAAAATTAGAAGAAGAAATAAATGCAAGGAAACACATGTCTCGCTTAAATAGAAAAGTCAATGTAACAATAGATTTCACAGGTAGAGAAGTAATTGAAGAAAAGCCTACTGAAGATTATGATGAGTTTGATGATGAACAGCTTGTAGACATTTCTGAAGCAGTGTCCATGCATGAATTTGAGGGTTCTAATATATGTCCGGACATAGAATTTAATCGACCAATTGTGAGAATGTTAATAAGTTTGTACATATATTATTAATATTACCAGTAAGAAATAAGATTATATTTTTACAGTATATGGAATCAAGTGAATCTGAACCACGTGTTACAAGAACTAATATTTCAACCAAAGTCAAGAACATTATTCAAGACAAAGAATATTTAGAGATGTCTGATTCAGGAGTATGTTTGAGCATGCATCAGCCTTATGCATCTCTATTGGTAGCTGGAATAAAAATGTAGGCAATAATACGACATAATCATCAATGGAAAACATTTTAATGCAGTATTTTATTTCACTGATTTTTTAGGCATGAAGGGCGAACATGGTACAGCTCGCACAGAGGGAGATTGTGGATTGCTGCAACATCTAAACCACCAACTAAGGAAGACATTTCAAGTGTAGAACAATTTTATCGAATTTTGAAAGATGGTTGGTTTGCTTTATTAATTGCACTATTCTAATTACTTACTGGTACTGATCTCGACGTTTTTAGATAAAATTCGTTTTCCTGAATGTTATTCAACTAGTTGTTTACTAGGCTGTGTAACAGTTACTGATGTTTTGCCTCAAGAAGAATATAGAAAAATTTATCCAGATGGTGAAAGTGATAGTCCGTACGTTTTTGTGTGCGAGAATTTTTATTCATTACCAATTAAATTTCCAATACAAGGAAAACATAAGATTTGTAAGTAATGCCATTAGCTTACTTTCATTATACATATTTTGAAATATTTTGATTCGTTATTAATGTTTACAGACAAGTTGGATCCAAAAATACATCAAGCAGCTGTTACAATGTTGGAAAAAGTTACAAAACGTACAAGCGAATAATGAAGTATTTATTTAAATAATAATGAATGATTTTGTTGCATTAAATATTTCTTTTGTAACATACAATATCTTCTTACATGTAAGTACTGAATATGTATTCTAATGTTAATTGTAGCATTGAGGTTTCATATTTTGAATAATGACAAAATTTAATTTATGTTTCAAAATAATTAAAAATACATTTTTCTCGCAATGTATAATAAATGTTATTTATTATTTGTACACAATATAATATATATAATACAATGTACACATAGTTTGCAATATATTACAGCAACCATTATAAGATTTATATTTATATTACACTAATCGCTTATTTTTTTCTGTGCGATCAATGAAAAAATATTAGCAGTTTTTTTCTATTATATTTAAAATATCAGACTTCTGTAATATTAAAAGTAGATCTCAGTAAAGTCATTCTATGACAAAAGTCTATAAATCTGAAGTACAAAGGGAACATGTTTATTTGAAATGTGGCGTTAAAAATTTTATTGTTCTTTTAAATTTCGTGTACTATATAGTTGTACGTGTTTTAAGAACATATTATAAACTACCCTTAATAGCAAAGTCTGAGGACTGAAAACAAAATTTGTACTTTTAAACTAATAAAAAGAATTGCATGTAAAATCCTTGCATGCAATTAGAAAACAATTGTTTGTAATTAATCAATCAAAACACGAATACGTAATTACGTATGCACTGGTAATAATGTATTGCCCAAAGTAAATATTTAAGATAGAAACAAATTTTGGGAAATACTACTTAGATGTTATTAATAGATAAATCGATGCATTGGGAATGTATAAATAAATATTAAAGCGTTTCCTACAAATTTTTGTCTACAGAATAAACAACTATTTGTTATAGTTGAAAACTTGAGTCACATATATATCAATAGATTGCTTAATTTGAAATGATAACTGTATTAATTTGGACATTGTGCAGTCTATTAATGATTATATTATGCAAATTTCATATGCATAGGTACGTAGGTATTCTATTTCTATAATTATATTCTTTGAATAACAAAATATTATTTAAACAATAAATATATATAAATCGATTCAAGACAACAACTTAAGGTTTCTTTCTTATATTTGAAACATAAAGCAATTTTTAATTCGGCTGTTTAACAATAATTAGTTCATGATCAACATTATGTAGACTAGTATTTAGAGCATAATTTTGATATCGTTTTGGATAAAGTAACAGTGTACATTGTTTAATAACAAAATCAATAACCAAAAAATAGAATGTAAAATTCTATAAAATTTAAAAAAAAATGAAAAGAGAAACCAAGATCGTTTATATGAACTTACAAAGTATATATATATATCATAACAGTACAGACTAATATGTTTCATTCTAAATAACATTCCAATATATTCAATACATACTTTTTCTCTAAAATCGAAGTTTTCGTGAATCCTTAATGTGAATAAAATACAGGCGCTGTAGAATAAATAGTTTCCATATAACTTTCAGTATTATAAACTATTTAGGCTATCAAATATAACCAATAATTCTTTATTCATTCATAATCTTTAGGTAAACACGCGTATATGTTTAAATACTATATTGTCGAATCAAATCTGTAATTAAAGCTTCAGCAACAATTCAGATTTAATTGTATTACGTTCGTGTAAATATTTAGACTTCTCAACCTAATTACAACTTGTTTATTGAAATATATATTTCGTCAAAGGTACCCGAAAGCTCAAATTTTGGTTCGATTTGATTCGACACTAAATGGTATCCGCACATGCCCATTCTTACCCTCTTTCAAACAAGTAATAGGCCACCACGATATTACCACAATACTATACATCCATATCACAAATCTACTATATTCGAACGATTTTAAATAAATAATTTTATATCTCCATTATATATATTTTTTTTCAGACATCGTAAATTCGATTAATATGGTAATACTCTTTCAATTTTCCCTAAATAAAGTGATCGGGAGAAATTGTTGCCACTTATTGAAACTGCTACAAGCATAATAAGTGTTAACATATTTATCTCAAACACCTTACGCATATTTGTATCAGGACAGCACAATGTATCCAAGCAATGTACTTACCATTTCCCTTAATTTCAAACCATATGGAATATTAATTAAAGATACTCGTTTCAGTAATTTCTCTAAATATAAGTAGGTGAGTCTTTTAAATATGCACCACAGGCTTCACAAATTGAAACATTTTGCTCGTTCACCAGCGTACATTTCGGACACTCTTTTCCACCGCTAGCTAAAGGTTTATCCTCGTTCCCTTTATGTCTAGACTTTCCACACATTTCACAAATATCTCTGGACGAAGAATTAAGATACGTACAAGTGGCACAGTTCCATTTATTTCTAGCTTCCATGTCATCCTCCTTTCGAGAATAGGACAATTCAACATTTTTTAGCATATCTTCAATTTTTGCGATCTGATCGGAAGATCGATGAGAACGTTGAATCGGAAGCGTCTGACTGCCATGCTTTTTATCTTTATTGTGCGAGGACAGGTGATTCTCGGATGATGAATCAGCTCGATATTTATTCGAGTCTGTTAAGTCAAAAGAAGAAGATTTTTTCTTGAATGGTAACGTATCATGATGATAATACCGACCATTCGTCACAGACGAATCAACGTTATTTCCATCGATTCTACCGCTTCTCTTTTTCTCAAACCGATGTCCACTGTGCTTTTCATCATTATGGTTCTGCTTTGACGTTTTCTGCTTGTTTGTTCTAGAATCGCAGTCACGTTTATGTAAAATGTCTTCCCGATCACCGATATCCTTAGAGTACCCTAAACTTTCTAAGTTTCTGTACACGAAGTCCCAAGAATCATAATTATTTTTATCGGCAACTGATTTCGATTTCTTATCAACTTTCCCGTAATCATAATGATCTCCGTCACTGGATTGCTTCCTATAGTAATCTACTTCATCCAAGTCAGGTATTCGGTGGGATGATTTTCTGTTATGAAGTTTCTCATAATTAGCAACCGACACAGGCATATCCACTTCGATTAATCTACCCGTAGGCACTCTTGAGTATGCTGGCATGGTTGTGTAATAAGGATTCGCGTGGACGCCGCTGAAATATTTATTACCATGCGGTAAACATCCGTAAGCACTGCATCGGTTCACAAAGCCATGATCTATCGCTGGAAAGTATCTGGGTGTCGCATTTGTATCTTCAATATATCTGTAATCTGTTTGACAAGCAGACACAGGCATATTATAATTAGGAGGCATTATGTGATAAGGAACCGATGGTGATGCTGCATCTATGCACGTAGGTTGAGCGTAATGATAGTCCCTATAATTCTCTACTTTTGTGCGGGTGTGATGCATTTTTTCGAGGAAACGGTAGTTCAATGCTCTAATTGCTTGCTCTGGTGCCCCAACATGATTTTCCCTGAATTCTAAAACTTCCAACCATGAGATAGTACAATTTTGAGAAACGTTTTCCCATATTTGTTTTAATATCTGCATTAGAAATGATACATTTTTTAGATAAGATAAATTTCATATAAATCAGTAAGTAAAATATATTACCTGACACTCAACAAAGGCTACCATTGCATCTCTGCTGACACTGGATACCTTATCAGGGTCTATAGGACCTTCTAAAGTAAGGACACCCAACCCTGTGTGTTTATACCCCATTTGTTCAAACATTAGTTCTGCTCCTATTAAATTTGCTTCTACTTCGTGTTTATAATACCCACTATAAGTCTAATGTTTAAAAGGAAATAAATTAGTTGTGTTACTTTGCACTTTTAAAGAACTGGGTAGAAAATATTGACAATAGTAACCCTTAATGTTCTATATTCTTTTCTCCAAGGCTGAGCCAAAAGATTGGCAGCGTATAAGGAAATAGCACTCCAGGCAGTCGCAGCTCTATATCCACTAAAGTCCGGTAAAGTGGCTGCAGATCTATGCAATATATCTGCGGTTTCTTGAAAAACATATTTATTCTCATTTGGAACAAGACAGAGGTATTCTTTAATAAAACCTAAACAAATGCACATACAGGTAAATTTGTTATAAACCATGAACTATCAAATTCCAAAGTTAAATATGAAACAAATCTACCTTCTAGTTTGTGACGTTGTTGTAACTTTAAAGGGCTATCATCTGTTTGTAAATAAACCAAATGGCTCTGTTCTAATTTCATACTAATTTCTTGCAGTCTATCTTTTCCTCTTGTTATTAAGTCATTCGCCATTTTTGTTGCTGAAAAACCAACTGTCCTTTGTTATTATATTCAACATATATTCTACACATGTAATACTATTTCAATTATTTTACACACACAAAACACTTCAGTAATAGAATTTTACCATACCAAATATAATATATCAAGGACTTATCAAATCAGAAGGAAGTTTATGTTAAAATAACATGAAAATAAAATCAGTAACAGGTAAGAAAAAAGCAAGAGATGTCAACTAGAAATAGATATGTTTCCCACCTATTAGAAACTCCTAGGAATGCAGCTTTAGATCAGATTCTTGATTCAAACTATGGCTAGCTCCAACCTAAAAATAAATCCTATATTTAGAAACACCACTACAGTGTTTATTCCAGGAGCTACCATAATATATTCTCTATTTGGAAAGTGCTCCATCTCAAATGGAAATATCCGTCGAGATTTTTATCACGCATTAAGAACATTGTACATCACTTCATAAACAATAAATATTTTTCTCTGCAACTTTTTTTTGGTTATGTTGAAGTTATGTCACAACCACTGAACATACATATACTAGAGATTAATGTATACTTGGAGATGTCATTCCTCATAGTATATACACAGACAAAGTATAAGCTAGACATACATGCAATGTAAAACTTTGTCACACTCTCTAGGGGGGTACTAATACCCCTTACCATTTTTATGTCACGCCCTGTCATACCAACTAAGGCTGATTTTGCAAGACAGTGCTATGAGTGATAGGAATGAGAATCAAAAGTACTGAAATTTTAAATTATATGGCATATAACAATAAATTTACTCATATAAATTATATATAATTTTATATAAGTATATGAAAAAATATGTATTTACATATCATATATTACATGATATAATATATTATAATATAATGTATACATCATAAATGGATTATAGTAATATATATATATATATATGTATATATATGTATGTGTATATATTTATGATGAGAGATGTCATAAGTGTCAGAATCCCAGCTACTGACGGTACTTGATCAACTTCGAACATTTTACTTGATGCAGTTTTCCTATTCATCGTTTTCTAGTATAGAGGGCAGAGTAAAACCTTTGATTTTTTTACACAGTCGGTAATTCAGAACATAAACACCGAGTGCCAAAAGTTTGCAATGTCTATACTATACCTTGTCTGTGGTATATATAAAAACCACCGAAGAGAATCCCATCGGTGTATCAACAATGTTATCTTGACATTGCTGCGTATTCAACTGAGAACTTTGGATAAACCTGCAGTGAATGAAGTGTCAAAGCACTTGGCTCGTGATTGTGTAATTGTATGTATTAGATGAATTAAAAGTCTTGGAATAGTTAAATTTTGATAAATCAGTAACAATTTTTAGAGGTTACTGAATAAATGTAACTACACTTTGTAAACAGTAAATTTAACGCTTTGCATAAACAATAATTTAAGCTGGTTTAACATAAAGAATTGAATGTTCAGCGATTGTCAATATTTATTATTCGGTGTTAATATATTTTGTTACATAACAACTGTGATTAAATTAATTTTTGCATAACAATGTAGTGTAAATACATTCAAAGTACCCTTGTTTATTGTTTCAGTTGTACAATTTCTATTTGATACTATAAAATTTACCCTCATAATTAAGTACATAAGTAAAAACTTTATTCAAATTTATGAATAATAAACGAATTAAAAAAATTATTTGCAAAAGATTACCACTTTTAAAGAATATAATAGAAACATAAAGATAAAGACAACGAATGGTCGACTAGTGGGAATAAAGTCATACTTATGCCAACAACTTTTAAAAATCACTTCTAAATTCTTAATATTTAATAAGAAGATAGAATGAAGATACGAGCATGAGACAAAAAGAATAATTTTTACGGAGAGGTAAAAGTACTTTTAATAATTAAATTAAATACATTGCACTTTAAATATTCTATGATATAATGTAAACAATTTAAAGGTAATAAATAACAGGAAGCAGAAGCCAAAAAGAATACATTAATTAATATTTTATTGTACTTTATACAGGATTTATTGCAATGTGTATTATAATACATAATCACTTCCAAAATTAAAGTTGTCTATCTCTTTCTCTGTTTAATGAGTTATGATTTAGCAAGCCTTTTTATCTAAGTATAAGGGAGTTGTTATCAAAAATACGAAATAATTTTCTTAGTAAGATGTAACAGTTGTTTGCACAAAATTAATATACACTTGAAACATTCTATTGTTTCAGAAATATAACTTTTTCACAAGCATTTGAGACCACAGTATGTACTTTAAAATAGTAAAAAAAGTATAGATCAGCCATTAAACTGAAATTTTCAATTAACAGATCATATGTTACATATAAATAATGTATGTGAAACATACATTATTAAAAACTTATGACTAAATCATATGTAACACAGATACGAAGAAATTTCGTAAAATGTAGAACACTTTTACAAAATTACTTCTGGATAAATGCTCTAACACGCCATTATTTTAAACTAATTTAGTATTAATACTTACTTCCTCCATAGTAATGCAAATACATTACTATAATTATATTTTAGATGTTTCTCAATTACTAACATTACAGAAGTAAAAAGATGACATAAAATGAATTAATAATGAACGTGTTTACTTATACATATTGTGCATCCTAAGATAATATACCATTTCATATGCTATGTACTGACACATAAAATCAAGTTTAAACATGCAGTACAGTATAGAAAGGAGCTCATAAATGTAACGTAATGATTAGTCTTATTTCCATTTTAGCAATTTTACATATCTAAAGAAATATTATTTGAAAACGTTCTTTGTATATACTTTGTGATCAATGTTTCATACAGATTTGATTCATACAATACAAATTGTATACTTAAACTCTACAATAAACGTTTTGAAATAATTTTTCTAATGCACAGATATGTTTATAATAGTTTAGAATCATAGTTGTCCTGTGTTGTTGTTTATACAATTTGTCTTGATCACATAAAAATTCATTTAATACTGGAAACCAAAACATTGCAATATATTTTAAAGGATATTGTTTGCCTCGAGACGTGACCTTTTACTACGAACTGTTCCAGAATCATCTTCAGAGTCACCATTAGCAGATAAGAAATCTCGTTTCCTATCAGTGTTCTAAAAAATTTTATTTAAAAATAAAAGATGTGTTGCATGATAACTTGAAAAATACAATATGCAAGATCTACATAATTATTACCTTTTTGTCCCATTGTTGATGAAGGTACCTTAATAATATGGTTGTTTTTTCAGTAACTATAACTGTAATTAACAAAAACAATCATAATAAGTTCCATGTACATTTTTATGGTAACTTATAATATATTAAAAACTTACCTTGTTCAGAGGGATGATCTCTAGTAGGTAAATAAACAGAGGGTTTTTTTACACAAGTTCTATTTCCATTGTCCGTATGAAAATTGGCAAAATTGTTTTCATTATGTGAGGGCAAACCCTTTAAAAATTCAGCGACGGACTGTAAATAGAAAGTTTCAACGTAAAGTTTCAAATTAAAAATATTACTTCGTTTATAACAAACTAGGTTGCGGAAAATGTCGAAAAATTCATTATTTTTAATCATTTTTATTGAATAATTTCGAAATTTAAAACCTCAAAATTTGTTCTTCAGCTAAAACAAACATGGCTCGAATCTGAAATTAAATTTTTTAACTTGCATGAGGAATATTAATTTTCTTCGAAAATATTTTTACATAAACTGTACATAACCTATAAAATTATTTTTTATCGATAAAAAATGTCAACAACATTGTAGTCAAAAAAGTAAACTTTACCATTTCGAAACAATGAGGCCAGTGCACAAGTCACAGTTAGAATGAAAAACTAATTTAAAAAATCATATCTGTATAAGAATCACACGTAATATTTGTATACACACTGAAAAAATATGTTTAGAACGCTGCAATTGGTATGAAATCAACTATCGTCATTTCTTTGACCACAGAATTCAAAATATCTAGACTCTATCACTCTCATTGGTTAATGACATAAGTACTGAAATACATGAAACTCAATACCCATATTTAAATAAAACTTTAATAAATAGAAACATATTATCTTTTCTTATTCTGCTTTCAATAAAATTTTCTTATTAAGGCAATGATAACAATTACATTTTCTTGAAAACTATACGATGAAAATGATACCAAAAAAAAGGAGCATTGCACGCATTGATATACGATTTAATGCTTAGTGTTTTTGAGGTAATTATCTAAAAAGTCTGAAACGCTATTAATTATTAAATATAATAGTATTTGTCATATTTCTTTTACAAACTGTTGACAAAAATAAAAAAATAAAGTTCGAATGAGATGTAAACAATATCACGTTTGACGTTCCAAAATGTAAATATAACCTATATATATATATACCGACTAAGTAATATACGATAAAATCACTCTAATGAAATTGGTTTGCTCGTTTTGTACAAGCTTATAGAATGTATAAAAAAAAGTGGCAAGATTTGAAGGAGATTGATAATGCTTTTATACTTGAACCAGAAACTATTCGCAGAACGCAATGTCCTGGTAGAGTCAACTTTGTACATATGGCATTTGATTGTCACGTGGAGTATCTTGTTGCAACAGATACAGCAGGATACTTATATTATATTGACTTAAATAATAGTCCAACTTATCAAAAATTGGGAAATGTTGGACAATCAACATTTGTGGCATTTAATCCTATAAATAAATTTGAAATATTAGTTGGCCTTACTACGGCTGACATAAAAATTATAAGGGTGGATGCGAATGTAACACAATTTTGTGTATTAACTGCTCACAAATTACCGCCTATGCATGTTTCATTTTACAAACAATATTGTCTAACTTGTTCACGGAAAGAAGTTGTAATATGGTGTTTACGATCTTGTAGTAAGGTTCAACAATTAAGAGTTAATACAAGGAATGTTGTAATAAGAAAGGCAAGTTTCTCAAACTTAGGGCACATTGTTATATTATACTACAATGATACTTTACAAGTATGGCACTTCAAACAGTTGGAAAATGATATTAAAATAGATGCAAAAACATTTGGTATTAGAAACATTAAAAACTTAATTTTTACACAAAATGGAAGAGCAATGATCATGAGTGGTGCACAGAATAAGATTATTATTCTAAGTACATGTGAGTGGAATTTACTCAAAACTTTGCTGCTGCCACATAACTTTATTGGAGTAAAACAAATGGCACTTGTACCATCACCTTTGGATGGTGGAGCAAACAATATACTGGCATGCATTTCGTCTAGTTGTAGTCTTCATTTTTTTGATCTGACTCGATCTTGTATTATTCAAACCCTGCACTGTAATAAACCTATAAAGAAAATTACAGTCTCTATAACTGGCAGGTATATAGCATTAATAGAACTAGAAGGTCATTTAAAACTAATAATTACTGAGAAACTATTCTCAGATAAATGTGAACCTGTAAAAAAGTTAAAAGAATCATGCAGACCAGTTGCACATGGTATACCTGATCACCTGCAATGTATCAAACAACTCATGAAACAAGAATTGCGTTTAGAAAGACTGATACCCATCTTAAAGGAATTTGGAGAGTACCCTGAAAAATACAGAGTTCCAATATGGTCAAATATTTTAAAGTTACCAGGTAATAAGAGCGCATATTGTGCTCTGGTTAACAAAGCAGCAAACGCACATTTTTCACCAGAGCTTCTAAAGGATTATCCACTAGCAAACAGAAGCAAACGGGCATTGTTGAAGACAATAGTGAACTGCTTAATACAATGGTCTCCTATATTGTCTCAGTGTGTATTTTTACCAAACCTTGTGTTCCCATTTCTTATGGTTTTTCAGGTAAAGCCATTTTTACAGTAGAGCAAATGATATTTTATATATATATTTCAGCTCATAATTTATTTATTATTATTACAGAAGGATCCGCTTCTTGGCTTTGAACTCATTATAAGTATACTATTAAATTATTGTCAAAAATGGTTTGAATATCATCCTTTACCACCTTTAAATGTGTTAGGTATGATAGAAAATATAATTTTACAAGCTGATCCATCTTTGCTAAACGTTTTTTGTGAAAGAGGTGTCACATCCAGTGAATATGCATGGCCACTTCTAAAAACTGCAATGAGTGAAGTTTTATCTGATTCCGAATGGCTGATTTTATGGGATCATTTAATCTCATATAAAAAACCATTACTTCTTTTAATGATTGTTGTTGCATATAGCATTTGTTCACGTGAAATTATAATTTCTTCGCTGCACTCTCCAGAAAGCTTTAAACGATACTATACCACTCAAGGTTATATCAGTGCAAAGGAATTACTTAAACTTGCTCAAACTCTTGATAAAGAGATACCATTACGAGTACATCCTAGTCGTTATCTCAGGTGAGAACAACTTCTTATTGTTTTGAATACTCTGAAAAAACTGCTTTTTTTTTCTTACAGAAATGAATTAATTACACTGCCTTCTAAAGGACCGTATCTGCCATTCATGTTACATGATTTTCCAAAATTTTTAACAGACGAAGTATCCGTTTTAGAGTTAGAAAAACTGAAAGAGAAGGAACGGACTGCACGAAAACATAATCGTAAAGCTATAGAAATCGCAGAACAAGACAGATTAAAACAGGAAACAAAATCATTTATGGAACAAATTCATCGGGCAAGACTTAATGGTAAAATCTCATGAGAAATGTAATTGTTTATCACAAGAAACTAAAATGATTTTGTACTTTTTAGAAGTAGAAAGATGCATTAATGAACAGTTGTCTAGTATAGATTGGACATTTAGAAGTGTACCGAACGCTAAATCAGAAATGCAATATGATTATAATATTCCAACATTGGATATAGGTATTTCAAGTGATGACGATGTTCTGGATTCCAGAAGTAAATCAAAACATTACGAACAACTGCAACAAGATATAGATAAATTAGAATACGAAGTACACAGCCTTTTAAATTCTTTAAGGTCGTAGAAATGAAGACTATAAAATATTTGACATTTTTTCTAAACCATGACATAATGTAAAAAACGGAACAAACAATCAATATATAAACGGTCTCAATTTGTATGATATATTTATGATTTGTAAATATGTATTATAAAAACTTTTTGTACAAATGATATACAATATTTCTCTATTTATATTTGTCTTTTTGCAGAAGCAAGGATAATATGTATAATGTATTCTTTTTACACCAGATTGTACTTTTTTCATTAACCTAAAAAGGCTAGTCATATTGAATAAACGAATGAACAGGTACATCGAGTTTCTCCCTTCCTTTTAATTTACTTAACTCAATTATCACTAAACATTCAACCACTTCAACTCCACCTGATCTTAATAATTCTATTGCACCGATCATAGTACCTGCAATAAAATATGTTGTAGCAAAAAATTATATTCTTCAAAATTAATCATCTTGTTAATCTTACCTCCTGTTGCCAGTAAGTCATCTACAACCAATACGCGCGTTCCTTTAGTTAGAAGTTTCTTCTGAATTTCAAGTGTAGCCTATAAAAAAGATGCCTATAAATAACAATATAAATGGAAAACTAAAAGGTTACGTTGGAAATTTAAATTATATGCACTGACCTCTCCATATTCAAGAGTAATATTCTGCTCTATAACTTCTCCTGGAAGTTTACCCTTTTTTCTAATTGGTAAAAAAGGCTTTCCCAATTCTAATGAGATTATAGGTCCAAGCAGGAAACCCCTCGAATCTAAACCTACAACCAAATCAACTTCAAGGAATAACACATGTTCCACTAATAAGTCTTTCATCGCTCTTAATGCAACTACATCGTTGAATATCCCAAATATATCTCTGAAAATAATTGGCTTCTTAACATATACTGACTTTACTGAATTTCCTGATTCTGTGCACCATATCGGAAACGAGAGGTTGGTTGTTTATAATTATTTAATAATTTAAATAATTTGTAATAAATGTAATTTAAGTAAGAAATACGACGAAAAATGAAAAAATTACTCACCGAAATATGACACCTGGTTTAGGGAAGTCAGGATAAGTTTTAATTGCATTTCGCAGTATTTCTAACTTTTGGTTTTTATCCATTCTTGGTGGCAAAGTCATACCAGTTTATGATAATAATTATTCTATATTCGATAAAAGGGAAACTAATTAATACCACTATTGTAAACTATTGGAACTGTTAAACAATTGAAATTCTGATTTCGAGAAGCACATGTACTTATTTACACAAGACTAAAAACAATGATACGATCATCATTTTGCGTTTATACCGCAATCCACTACGTAAGTCAAGATTTCCTGGTTTAGATAACTTGCTCAATTATCTAATCAAATAATGTGTAATTATGTTATTAAAGCTATAAATATACAATATATTATTTTAATTATATAAAATTAAAAAAATAAGAATTAAACAACAAAAATATACCAGAAATATGTTGGAAATAAAACTCATTGGACCACTTATACTCTTATGTACTCAAGCTTGAAACAACCACCATTATATAGTATTTTACATTGAAGTCTTTGACTATTTTTATACGCTACTATTTTTAACACTTAGCCAACCGAATGGGGAGATCTTCCATTTTTCACTTAGCAACATATTGCCTTTTATTCTGTTTATCTTTTCTTTTGTTCTTTAGTAAGTCTTGAAGTGGGATTATTTGCAATTCATCAAATACGGTTCTTGTTTTTACAAAACGAAGTTTTTAACCAAATTAATTGAATGAATTCAATTGGAGACAATAGAAAAGGTTGTACTTATAATTCTTTTTAGGCGGTTGCCTAAGTGTTAAAAGACTATGTACACAGTAATTCTAATATTAGTAATATAGTACAGTAAAAAATATTCATTAGGGCGGGTGTAACAATGAAGAACATTATTTAAAATATTTACAACTTTACGAACGTTTGTATATGTATAGAAAAATTTAATTTCTGGATGTGTTAGTAATAAAATTCTATCTTTATACACTAGATAAAATATTATAGATATAATTTCTTCACTGACGACTGATTGAAGCGTACTTTTCGTTGAATCTGACGCATGTAAACCTTTTTTGAAATTTCATCATTTGTAACCATTAATTTTACAGTTTTCATGCCTAGATGAAACATCATAATAAAATCAACACACGCGTCTGAAATATTAGTCGCATTAATTTCACCGTCTTAAATAAAATACATCGACAGTACCGATCGCAGAATAAACCGAGTTTAAACATTAACAAATTACCATAATAATCTGTTGCTTCTGTAAACCTTCTGCAAATTAATTCCATATAGAATGTACCTCGATTCAGTCAAATTCATTCCCACATTAGAATTCACTGATACTTATGATTCTATTTGGAATTATCAGCTTCGTGACTAGTAGCACATGGGGATGATCCCTCGCAATATAATCAAATATATCATTTACTCCTATCGAGACTATTACTTCATTATGAAAACTTTAAACAGTCAACAAAAAATAAGCTGTATTATTTACAAAGCTGTCGATGTCTTAATCAAAAACATGGAGGCCTCCTAATCATTCGAGTAAAAGTTTTCTCTATTTCTAGAGTTCATCCAACAGATAAAAAAATATGATGATCCGTATCATACAGGTGGATCAGACTTTTGTCGTGGCTAGTAACTTGATGTAATGCGCTTTATGAGTGATTTCAAACTCCTGGGCAGGTAAAAAGCATTGCGTCTGTATTCTAGGATGTCTCACACGCTTCACGACGCTTCGTGCAAGCAATACCAATGCTATGAGAAGGGCACAGCCAGCCCCAATAATCACTAGAACTATTATTTCGGTATTCTGTTTGAATCCTTGCACCTCGACGCAGCGAAGTCGGTCCCGGTTGCTCCTGAAGTTCGCGATGACGTCTTCTTCGTTGACTTCGTCGAGGCTAGCGCAAACCTTGTAGCGACCAGGCAGTAGAACTTCCAGTGTTACAAATGTTAAACTACAATTCAGCATCTGTTTGTGCACTGCAGATTCAGCATCAAAGACAACGACAGACAATTTGCATTCGGGTAGATTTGACTTTTTTGGAGTGGACAAGCTGACATCGACATGAAGGAATCCCTGATCGGATACATTAACGTGCACTCCAGTTATTCTGGTGTCTGTAGATTCTACAACAGCAGTTTCTTGATCCTTTTGCAAGTCACGTTTCGTTTCTTCGAGAGGAAGTACATCACTGCAACCCAAACCCCAAGATACTTCATCGTAGCTGCCTGGTACGAGAATTACCACACAGTAACGGTATTTGTGGCCTGGTTGTAAGTTCAAAGAAGCCGGTATAGCCACTGGTAATAAACAAGGATCCCTCATCATCCGCGAATCGCAGTGAAGAGAACTGGAGACGGTCTGGACCTCGCTGGTACCTATTGTTTCATAGACTATCAGGCTGTCACATGTGTAACGTTCATTGCACATCTCCACATGCCAAAGAAGGTTCACACCAGTTGATTTATCGTAGTTGAACTCTTTTAACGTTAATTGAGTTCCGGTGGGAGGTTCTCTGGTAGTTATAGGTGGCGTTGGTTCACCGCACAGGAGACTACCAGGAGAAACTTGCGTGAGGATACCGTTCTCCAGAGCTGGCGGTGTAGCGCAGACCGCGGAGGACTTATCTTCTTCGTTTAAACTCGAATTACTTAACCAATTAGCGAATTCTAAAAGTGTACAATCGCAATTCAGAGGATTGTCAGCTAGGGACAGTTTTTTTAATCGCAACTTGGATGTCGGTACATCGCTGGCCACCATAGTAATGTCGTTGTCATCTAATCGAAGGTCTTGCAGGCTTTTCAGAGGGACTACCAAGTCGGCGGTTAAAGATCTGAGAAAGTTATGAGTTAAGTCTAGGGTCGTCAGTTTTTCCAAGTGAGCTAAAGATGCGCTGGATACCGCGACTATGCGATTATTTGCCAGATCAAGTCTGGTCAGAGTGGACAAGTATTTAAAGGAATGGTCTTCCAGTACATCGATCTGAAATCAAACACAGCTCTTTTAGTATCGGTACGATAAAAACAATTATTCTTACCAATACCTGGTTGTGACTTAGACTGAGGTAAGTGAGGTTTCTCAGTCCTATCAATGCTCCTTGCTGAATATTTATCAGCTCGTTTTCCGACACGGTTAGGAATCGTAATCGTGGCATCTGAGGAAGAAGGTTCGGGCCCATTGGGCCCAGTAACAAGTTGTTCGACAAATCGAGTTCCTCCAGGATTTTCAAGCCCCTGAGAGCCGACAGAGCCGAGACGCTCAAACGATTCCCTCGCATCCTCAAAGAGCGCAGCCAGGGTAGAGAGACGAAAGCTTGCGGCGACAATTGCGATAATAAATTGTCGCACAGGTCTAAGTATGTCAGGTTCGACATGCCCTGGAAAGTGCAAGCATGAGTTAGCGGACATGAATGATAACGACCAGTAATGTTGCCTCGGGGTCGGTCCAACTCGGCGCGATATTTCAACGGTGAAGACAAACAATTACAGCGATGTTTGTTGTTGTCAAGAAGATAATTATGGCCGCCATTTCCGTGGGTGTCGAATTATTAATTACTACACGGTCCATTAAGCCGACCATTCATTCGATGCTTCACGTTTCATAGTTGTAAAATCGATTCCGTTCAATGACTCGCATAGCGGATAGGAAGATTACCTTAAACGAATCGGCTTCCAGGGTCTTCAGTTTGTTCTGAGATAAATCCAGTCGTTCTAGTCCAACTAGGTGAGACAGGGCCACCGTGGGCACAGTGTCTAAGAGATTATTAGGAAGTCCAAGAGCTTGAAGAGGTCTTGCCAACGCTGTGAACGCATTCTCGTGGACGCGCCTCAGCTCTCCGGTGGAAACGACGAGTCCGTGGAGCGCTACATCTTCGAGGAAGCGTGCTGGCAACAGGGAGATGCCTGCCACAGTCACATCGAGAAGCGAAATGGTTCCTGGACGACTGGATCTCAGGTGTTTGCTGATAGTCTACAATAAAATGGAACCGTCTGGATCAGTCTGTCTTATCCGAGGGTAAATGGAAATTGTCCTAATCCGAGATGGATTCGTGATAGTCTTACACAAACATCATATCCCATAGTAGTTTCCAGTGTCAACGGGTCGTTAACAGTCTCTGTTACTCCCAAGATTAATTAGTCATACCGGATTGCATAACGGGGATCACTCGATTCGCGGAGGTATCGTAAGACAGGATATTCGTCGAAGTAATTGGTAACGGGACATTCAACGCAAAGGAACAAGCGTGCACGAGAGAGGAGAAAAACGGGCTCCGCACAATGGTCTCTCGGATAATACGTACGACTTGTATTTCATCGGCGGTCTATACGCCCACGCCCGCCTGGCGGGTAGCTAAAAAACCACTGACCTCGATAGCACGGCAAAATAATAAGAATCTAAGACAAGCTCACGCATTTTTGCAAGAAAATTTATCGGCGATCAATGGCGATTGGAATCTTCTTAGAAATGTATCTCCGGGGACTACAGAGGTCTTCTTACACACCATGAAATCTAGATACAGTTACAAGCGATTCGTGTCACTTGAAATTCTCGTGAACGTTATCAGAGCCTAGAGGAAGCAAGTCGAATGATTCACAGCGAACGATCATCGTCCTTGTTTCGCTGTACACCCTGTACGATCCAGAGGCGGCCGTTAATTTCATTTAAAGGAGTCCGTGAGTCACCGTGCGCATACATTCAGAACGAAGTGTTCGCCACGGGTGAAAATTACCTGGAGCGTTGTTCTATCGCCGGTGCATCGCAACGTGTGTGGAAAGTCGCAGGAACACTCGACGCCCGCTTTTGTAATATTTGGACACTCCCAAACGCTGTCGGGCGATGGCGAAGTCGCGTGGGACGCATCCTTAACATTCTCCCCGGCCGGGCTTTTTACAACGTTTGACGAATTATTCGCGGGTACCAGCTCGGTTTCGTTCATGTCGGGGACCGTCGTGATCGTCGGGGCGCCGGTGGTGATCAAGCCGGACGTTGTCTCATCCTCCGTTCGATTCTCCTGCGTTGCGTCCATGCACGACGCTAGCGTTGTCAGCAGTAATATCAGCGAACATCGTGACATCCACAGCATCCTAAAATACAATTGCCTGTTTATTCGTTCGAGAATTCACAGGAACAACTAATCCGTTCCCTACCGTGATTCGTAATTTTGAATTTTTATAAATAATTACCGAGGAAAACTGAAAGGAATCGCTTACAGACTTTTCTCGGTAGCTAAATTCACTTCGCATCAGCGAGATCCTTAACACGTACGCTACCAGCGTCACATATTTGTGATGGCCGTAATCCAATGTTTTACAGAATGAAAATGAAATGAATCTTATAGATATTGTTATTAGAAATTATAAACTACGACATATTATATTTAGGAACTCAGTCACTCGTTTCAGTGTCATTTTTCTAGTATTTTGTTTAGATTTATTGGATTGAAGAAAATATAATTGAGGAAACCGTCACCGAAACAAGCGCCGGTAGCGAACGCGTTAAGCATCTACGTAAATCTTCTTTCTTCTTTCGCGACCAATGTAAACTGAACACTACCGCCCGTCGTCTTACCGCCATCCATCCCGATTAACCCAATTTTCGGCCATATAACCATCTCAAAATTCATCCGTTACTATTCGAAATCGATGTCGCACAATTACTACAACGAATTATGGCTGATCACGAGGAACGATTTGGACAAGTTGTTGAAGCTCGATCGGAAAGTACAGGAACAGGGTCGAACGACGAGACGGGTGGAAGGTTTAAACCTATTACTGTCTACGTATCTAAGGTGCGACTTGTAATCGAAACAGGCGGAGAATTTTCGGCGATCGAAGGCCACGAATTAATGAAGTCGATCCGGCTTTGCAGATATCGGAACCTGGTGAAGAGACTGATAATCTGCCACGATCAAATGGTGCAAACGCAGAAACGGGACTTGATCAAACGAGTTCTGGACTGCGCTGTCGGTCGAATGCTCGACTATAAGAAGCGGATCGTCGATCTGGACTCCTCGGACTACCAGTACAGCTAAGAACAAAGAGTCCCTTCGAGTCTTAACGCTTTACCTGCCGGCAGCGTTCGATTCATTGTAGAAAGGAGTCGTTTCAAAATATTCGACGCGCACGGAGAGCTTGCAATGCGATCAATATGTGAACAGTAACATAATTAACACGTTGAATGTCATATGGATCACCGGTGACCCAACCAAATCGAATTACTAAAGTTCACTCGATTAAAAGATGATTATTTGAAAACATGTCTATATTATAAATAATGCTAGCTAATGTGGTGACATATGAACTTACAATAATAACAATGGAATTCAATCAAATGATTTAATATTACATTTTTTCCATTTCGAGTATTTTGCTCTATGAAATCATGCGGCGTTCAACGTGTTAATACAATGTTCGATCATTCGATAAGCTTCAGCTTCAACAAATTTCAATTGACCTAGCGGTATCGTTGTAAACGGTAAAGTGTTAAGCGACTTAACATCCGGTCCTCGTGATCCTCAGCGTTCGCGAAAATAGAGAAAATCCGAGTCTTCGAGCGAACTCTCTTGATATTCGAACCGCGGCGAGTCTAACTTACGACAATCGAATTGAAACCTGTTCAGGTGGCCCGATGACTTCATGAAGCAGCTAAAATACACGCCCGATGACGCGGAGATCACGGTGTCCGCGTGCGGCAAAGACGTGGTCCAGCGGCGCAGGAAACGCATCGAGGAGCTGATGGAGAACGCTCGCAAATGCAAATCGCTGTTTTACGAACTTACAAAAAGCTAAATACGTAAACGTTTCAATACGTCTGAAAGTAATTTGATTTTTCGCAGCGCCCGAGAGGGAGCAAGAAGAACAAACGTCGGTCGCTGAAGCCGCGAGTGTCGTCGTGTCACAAGAAAGCACGCCGAGGCTTCGCAGACGAAGGGTGAAGGAAGAGAGCGCGGCCAGCGTCGTACCGTCGATCCTCCAGGTGTCACCGGAAGTAATAGCGGCTCGGGAAGCGCAGCTCGCCGCGGAGGAGGCCACGAAGAAAGCGATTCTGCTTATACAATCTCACGAGAGGGCGAGGATTGCGAGGATCGCCGCAACCGAGCGTCAGTTTCAGTTACAATAGAGACCTTCTTGGAAATTTAACGCTAAATCTACCGGACCAGTCAAATTGACCCATTTCAGAATGTTTGTTTTCCAAGTACTTACTTAACACTAGAACTACCAGATGAGTCGAAATAACTCATTCCTCATTTATTCTTTCATAATAATTGCAAGCATGTAAATGCTTCTTCAAGAAATGATTAAAATAGTCGACTTATTAATATACAGATTTAAATATAACTTAACTGACATCTTAATCAACGCACTTCTACGATTTCTATAAATGAATGTTTAAAAATCAGTTCACCTGCTTGGTAGTTCTAGTGTTAAATTACGAGGACACTTTTTTTGTACTATTATAGAAACAAGAATGAGAGTATTGATTTGATTTTTCATAGAAATTAGAAATTAGTCGCTCCAAATTGCTCGGTAGTTCTAGTGTTAAGACTTACTATAACTAACAGATCCGTGGTCTACTAACGAACGTGCAATTCCGATTCATATCACAGTGGAGCGGATGAACGTTTACAGAAGAAAAGTAGAGATCGGAGAGATCGTTCCGAAAATGTACTCGAAAGCCACGTACGAGATAGCAGCTAGAACGATACAGAGAGCCTGGCGAAATTACATGAAAAAGAGGATCCGGAAAAAGAGAATGGATCGGCTTGAACAATTGATTGGGATGTCGATACCTAGCTGGAAGTCTGATCATGTTCTAGCGAAGGACAGGGAGAATTTTCAGCGGAAACTGGATATGATGCAGGTGTACGCTGATCGTGTTGAGAGGGTGACCGAGGATCATCGGACCAAAGTAATCGTCCCCTGAATCATCGCTTGATTGCAACTTGTATTATACTATCACTCGTTATAAGTAAAAATATAATTAACACTAGAACTACCAAATCAGTGAAAACGACTCATTCCTAATTTCTTCTTGCAATTCCAAAGTATTGGAAAAGCACAGATGATTCTCTGAGAAATTGCTAAGTAAATTGATTTCATAGTACGTAAATTACTACTATTATATCTATAATAACTGCACAGTACTATATTTTTGTTATAAAAGTGTAAAGAGAGTTTGTTCGACTGCTCGGTAGTTCCAGTGTTAACACGTTGACTGCCACGGTGGTCACCGGTGACCGGAGCTTAAAAATTGCTTAAATACAATTACAATAAGAAAACTGATGTCGAATGAAAATACTTAGTAACACAAACAGCTAGATGATAGTGTAACACGTATACTGTACCAAGTAATTAATAATTATTTCTAACACCATTTGCCTTTGTTACGAAAGACTATGTATCGTTTCACGAAACGTTCGAAATTCTCATGGCAGTCAACGTGTTAAGTAAACAAGAGGGTTTCTACGACGAAATACAATCTCGTTCTTTCTTCACGAGTTGTGGAAGATCAGAGGTCCAGGTTTGATGGAGGACATCACGGACGAGATTCGCGAATGGTTTATCGTTTGGTACAACACCGTGGGCCATTTCGACGCGTATCCCGCGGCCAATTTGGGCGGCAGCGTGTTAATCGCCACTGGGCAAACTCTAACTCCCGAGGAGTTCTTAGCTCAAAAGGGCTCGAAGAAACCCGAGGCAGCGGAAGAGAGGAAGAAGGAGGAGAAGAGCGGCGCGAAGAGAAGGCGAGAGCCGTGGATGCGTGAAACGAAGGCGTTCACCCTTCTCGACGCGGCGAATCGAGATTTCATCGGGAACTGGAGCTTCCGTAACGATTCGAGTGACTCACAGGAAAAGATATACGAAGATCTGATCAAGAACAAACTGTGTCACCAGCTGCAGCTAGAGATGCGAGCGATAGTCGACGAGCTGATGAGGCTCGAGCTGAAGAAACTGAACCAGGCGTTGAAGAGGGATTACAAAGCTGACGATAAAGACATCGAGATACCGAAGTCGAGGGGTGAGCCGGCTAATTTGATCTCCTGCGTTTAGAACTAACGAGGCGTTCACTCGAGGCAGCCCGATGTCTCGTTAAGATTATAATACCGGACGAGAGTATAATTCCGCGATAGAAAAACCACGTATAAGGTTTTAATTAAGAAGTAATTGCTCGCTAACTAACGCGATCATTAGCATACATCAAGCAGGTCCTTTTACTCGGCGGTAGTGGGCGTAATAGAATAGTCTCCCGCGATTATCTGTAGCTGATTGTTTTAACGAGCCGCAAAATACACGAACCAGCGTGCCCCGTTCTTTAAGATATAATTCAATCATGTTGCAATCATTCTGCTCGAGGCAAGACGACGGAAAGAAGAGAGCGCGAAGGAAGAAGGGGAAGAAGGATAAATCGGTGAAGACCACTGTGACGGATAGCTTCAATGAATTGGTCCGAGCGAATATTATCGAGAACTATCCCGCAACTTCTCTAAAAGACTGGGTGGGAGACCTTTCGTACCAGAATTACGAGGCAGCCCTGGAGTATCGGGACTACAGGCATCATTTGGGTGAAATCAAGCAAGCGGTAATGGAGAATTGCATTCTTCCGTTGAGCTCCAAAGAGATCCACGAAATTGCGCCGTTGGTGCGATCGGTTTGCATCTGCGGGTTACCTCGGCACGGGAAGAGCTTCTTGGTGAACGCAATTTGCACTGAGGTTTGCGTGTTCGCCGCACGTAATTCGTTTTTGTAATTATTAACGTTCGCTTGATACTCGGATCGTATTGTTTCGGAGCAGGTTGGGGCGTTGTTAATTAACATGACGCCGACGGTTCTGGTGGGCAAGTACGAAGGGCGGAAGAACGAGCGGAAGCTGATCGACATGATCTCGAAAGTGGCCCGCGAGCACGCTCCCTCGGTGATCTTCGTCGACAATGCCGAGAAGCCTTGGGCGAAGAAAGTGCCTGCGGAGGAGAGATTCATTAAACCGAAACGATTCGCGAAGTATTACCCGAAATTCGTGAAGAGCATCAAGCGGGGCGATCAGGTGATTCATTAAAGAATTCCGTGAACGTTCAAGGCCTCGATCATCATGCGAGCTGCCGCGGTTAATTGATCGACGCGGCATCGGGGCACGATCGATTGTATTTCGTGAAACCTTTCTTTTTTTCTTTCACGAAGGGAACGCGCGGTCCTTCGATCCGAGAAAAGCAGCTCGTGTTGCAATTGATCGGCGTTGCAGTGCCTCTCCTAAAGTGGCGAGGAATGTTAAAGTTGGTGATCTGGTAGCGCGCCCACCTCATGAAATTCTCGATATTCCTGTTTCGACTCTTTCTCCGATATGAATGAACCGCCTCAATAAGCCGGGTCGGGACCCCCTCCCCGCGGCCCGCATCTTTCTCTTTCCCAAACGTCTCGATCGTTCGGTGCCTGGACATCAATGAAACACCTCCTACCGAACGACCGGTACGTAGGTGGTAGCGAGTTAACGTAGGATTTAGAGTGTCGATGATTCCGCGCGGATACGGGCAGCCATTGGCGTAGAGATACCAACGAACGGAATTAATATTAATCGTTGTTTGGCAATTACATAGCGAACCGACGAACGACGCGTCGCGATGCGGGGAACGGGTCGGTATTATACGAGTGTTCCCCTTTTTTGCGCGGCCGCCAATGCTGTCGAAAGAATATAACCGACGGTGAAACGCGTTCAATAAGTCCGCACGTGATACTTTACAGATCCTATTTCTCACGACCTCCTCGGAGCCATATAAAGCAACCAGACCCTTCATCAGGGTCCACGACAAGTTCATAATGATTCCTCTCACGGACTACAACACGCTGTACATGTTTTACAAAGATCTGCTGATGAAGTACCACGGTGTCGACCGCGGCATCGACGTCTCCAGCCTGGCGAAGATGTCCGAGGGCATTCCATTGGACTTCATAAGACAGGCGGTGGAGAATGTCCTGAACGTTGCCCGGAGAATCACCCTGAAGTTCAAGCCGCTGACCCCGCAGGAAATCATGAAAGAGGTGGCGAAGTACGAGCCTCCCGCGAAGAAGACGTTGAACCAGTTGATGAAATTCGAGTCGCGAACCCCGTTAGGGAGGAAAAGAGCGAGGCTGCTGATGGCTGAGAAGGCGGAACGCGAACGGACCGAGCAAAAGAAAACGAAGAAATAATACAGTGGAAACGCGCTGCCCACCCTTTTCCCGCGAGAGACCGTTCCAATGGTTTTGTGTCCAGCGAGTTCCGTTCACCGAAAGCGAGGGAATGGATATGACGGAAACTTGTCAGCTAAAACGTGGGACGTAAACGCATTGAGAGACAAGGCTGCAACGCTTTTAACGAGACCGTTTCCCCGCAGGAAAATATTACGTGCGCACGGTGCATGCCTGCTTGCTCGCGCGCGCTCGCGAGTTTCTTCGCGTCACCTGTTGAGCAACCGAGAAAAATCAGGGTATCGAATAAATTCGAAGGGAAGCGGAACGAGTGGGAACGAGTGCGTGTCGAAGACTGCGACCTTTCTGGGAGAGAGACGTCCGTGGAAGAAGCACGGTCATCGATTGAGCGATTCCTTCTTTCTTTCGTATCGTGATTCTCCAACGTCCGCGTGCGTCCGGACGTGAAACTGGTTTTCGTCTTCGTAGGATGCTAAAAACGATCGTCGAAAAAGAGGAGGCAGATGCAGCGAGGAACAACAGCGAAAAAACTTAACACGCTTAGATAGATTTCGAGCGCTGATTCCGCTTGAATACTCGACTTCAAAAATTTCAGCGTCGCTTCTGAATAATTTATAGGGAAGACTGCGTACCTTCGGAGAGCATTCCAACGAATTGTGACTACGAGATCTGGAATAAAGTCGAGAGAATGAAAGCTATCGTATGAATGGCTAACGCGTTGCATTCATTACTAACCAGCGTTGTGGGTGCTACGATCTAGGTGAGACAACCCACTGGAATCGGGCGGTTTTTTTGTACGTTCTGCTGAATGTATGCAAGAATACTTTCCTCCAAGCAAATTATTATACACTATAATACGAAACGGTTAACCGGTACTCGATTGGATTTGATAAAAATCCACGTAGATACTATGATCCTGATCGTTCAAACGATATAAGACTTCAGAATAACGCGATCGAGCCTCAAGAAATATTATGTCTAAACGAAAAGATTTCAAACAACCAACTGCAGTAGCACGATACTCGAAAGGTATCATTCCTTCATCGTGAGAATGTTTCAAAATGCGTTTCTGGGCGCACACGTACCTACAGCAATGTGTGTCCCTGTAGTCCGGGTGTTTGTAGCCCCTACGGCTTCTCTTCACGCGCGGCACACGTACACGCGGTATATCGTAGCACTCACGCAGGCGCGGCACGGGCATTCACGCATCCAACCCACGTTGGCTGTTGCGCGCGGGCAACGCTCGAGAGGACCAATCGCACGCTCGCCAAACCGAGAGAGCTGTCACTCGGCCATAGGCGCGGAAGCTTGAACTTCTAAGCTGTTAGACGAGAGCCGGTGGATTCGACTGTGGACCAGTGGTCAGAAACGGTAACACCGATGCCAGTGACGCGTTCGCCGAGTGCATCTTCCAGTTGGTCCGGTGTCTATCGACCGGTGAAATTCAACGCGTCTCCTCTGTCAGCACTTGCGCTTCGACGTTACCCTCGGATCTATTTCACCGTGACGATTTTTGTAAACGCGACTGGGAACGACCGTACGACGACGTGATGCTAGCTGATACTGTGCACGAGGCACGCGGTGGGCACTCGTGCCGAGAAAACGTCGCCTCCGCCGTGTCCACACGGTGGGGACTCCGCCGGTGCGTCCGTCTCTCTGTGTCTCTCGGTTTCCACATAGCATAGCCATGTATGGAACACGGGACGACGTTCTCTCTCCCGGCCCTTACGCCCACTTGAACCGCTGCCGCTCTTGCTCCCGCTGCCAGCCGCCTCGTTCTCATAGTCCCGGAGCAGGTATCGTCGGGGCGACGTCACCGTTACAGGTTGCCTGACGCGGGCTCGGCGACGTCGCCCCGTCAACCCCTGTCCACGAACAGAGATTCTTCGAGCAAACGTTAAACGGCTCGCACTGCGGTGCTTTCGAATTCAACGCACTCCACGTGAAAAACGCTACTGACAGCTTAACCCTTTGCAGTCGGAAGATGACTCTCACTCACCACCTGATTTCATACAGTAAAACTATAAAATTTGATATTTAATATTACACCTTGTATAACGCATCAATTTGAGAAATATTGAAATCAAATAGCTTTGTTCCTCAATGTATGTATCATTTCTCTTCGAGTTAGTTTCACGAAATATCGTATTTATGCGATCAGGAATTATTGAAAGTATTTCTAGAGAAAAACTTCCAAGTGCAAAGGGTTAATACGCTTCATGCCGTGAAAGTACTTTCGGGTACCACTTTCAATTGAAATGATATAAATGAAGCATGCTTCGACTCTTTACGGATTTACGTCTTGATAGCTTCTGAAATAATTATATCTATTCCGCGTGTTACTCGAATGATTCTGAAACAAATATCTAAGGTAAGGATGACAGTAAAAAATGAAAATTATTCCGAACTTAAAGGGTTAAATACGTATCGTGAATGCTGATTCAGAGTTTAAAATTAATTCAGAGTATTCTATATGTTAAATCCTCGAAGTTCGACGAATTTAATGGAGTTGAAAGTTACTTGGAAATGTTGAACGTTGAGGATTCAGGTTGAACTTTATGTGCACTGTTGAATTAGTCCACAATGGTGAGGGAACTTGTAAGTTGAAAACCATTAAGTTTGGTGGAAGGAATAGGAGAGACGGTGGCCTGGAAATGTGCAACGTTTGATTAAAAACAGTTATTGAATTTGGAAGTTCAGAGGTGATGGTAATTTTTACACAAAAAGAAAAGAACACTATTTCTCGTTCTTTGTTACTCTGCATAACCGTTTCACAAGAGATCTCTGAACATGGTCGGGCTTCGTTCGTGTACACAAGGGCGTTCTGGAAGACGGAGAAAAGCTGAGAACGAGAGAGAAAGAAAGAGAGGCTCCGAAGGCCTTCGGGATCTTCATGAAACGCTTTTTGATACTGGAAATCGGTCTGTCGCCGTTACGAAATCACGTAAAACCGGGCCTTTACGCCCACGCGAGTACGACTGGCATAGCTACAGCGAAAGAAAGTTTAACTTCTTTAACGAGTTGAATGTTTACTACGCGTCCAGTTGAAAGTAGGACTGGACAGTATATGCTGATAATACCTGTTTGACTTTGCTGTGATTTATTAATGAAAAAAGGAATTTTTCATCGTATGAAAAGATACGTATTAATTCAGACGGATCGCAGTGGCTTGTGCTACAAGTTGTCACGAGTAACACCTGAGATGACGTGATATTAATTATGTAAATTGATTTAGACTGCAGTAAATTGAAAGAAATAGTAAACGAAAGAAAAATATGTTCACGATGCAATTTTATACGACCTGAAAATTTTTTTTCCTTAGACATATGATACTAGCAAAAATAATAATAAATTCCCTACAGCTATCTCTTCCGAAGACAATACTTGGTCAATGTAAACGACATCACATGGTCAGTCGATGCATTTTTTCTCTTCATGCGTCAGCAATGTCTTCGTTGTAACTACCGGAAGTTTCGTAGATTTCAGACCTCCGCGTGAGTTTTGTCCAATGATTTACGCTGTTACACAACTTCGAAAATATCTGAAAACTATAATAGCATTTTGGAAAAAAGGAAAGAATAGATTATCGTCGAAGAAGAAATTAATTTTTATAGCTGTTTTAATCGAAGTTGAAGAATGTTACTGTTGAGTGGAGGATGACGCGATTCCAGAAGCCATTGAACCAAAGACGGAGGCTCGCTTCAACTGAAACAAAAGTAATTTTTGTACGACGAGAAAGGCCAAGGAGAAGTGACTCCCCGTGGTCCCAGTGACAGCTTGATCGAGAGGTTCATTGTATACAAATTTGCCGGGAATTTAGTTCGTAAATTCGCGGTTTATGTAACGGCTTAAACAGTGGCCGAAGATGATGTCTGCATCAATCGAACGTACCCCTAGTACTTGTTTCAAATCCTTGCGATATTTCGACCCGTTCCTTAATATGATTCAAAATATTTCGAATTGAAGGAAATCCTTTATTCGCATCCGTTACCTTTCTTTTTATTTATAGCTATATGTAAAATTTGTATTATGTACTAACTCATCCTGACCCTAAAAAGCTGAAGGTTTAAAAATGAATGTACTTAGATATTCATTGTCGAATCTACTTTATATAATATTTTAACATTTGTAATATTCGAAGGAAATATTTGTCTATGTAATTACCAAAGGATAATCTCAAAGAACAAAGCAGAAACTGATATGGTTCTGCGAATGGTGGCGATTGTTCACACGATACTATCGAAAGGGCCGCAAATGCTTGCACAAAAAGCTGCTTCGACTGAACCGGCTACCGGTTAGCTAGTTGATCGACCTTTACTCGTAACTTCAAGCCAGCATGCCTTTACGAGCAAATATTTAAAAGGTGAAGAACACTTGTGATTCTTAAACTAATCTGTAAGGACATATCTCTATTGTAAGATGACTGGGGCCGGAGTTATACGAACGTTGAAATGACGGGCGTTGCACCGCTGCAACATGTTCCCTCCACGATCTTCATTGCAACAAAAACAAATGAACATGTCCAAATTTACCATGGAGTCCTACAAACTCAACAGATATTCATACTTTTGGCTTTTGTTCTTAATTCTTTCAATTGGTCTTTATGTTACTTGCTAACTAGGTACCAGAATACTTTCTCTAATTGCCTAAAAAATTCAAAATACGTGTTTTTTTTAGTACGTCCACTAAAAATTCAAAAACATTACATTTTGTCAAAAAAATGTAAAACATTTTATTATACAGTTTAACTGCAAGAGCATATGATAGTAGACAAATATGGTACAATTGATATGTTTCTTTAGAACGAGTATTTACAGTATTATATTATTGCATTTTTAATAATTGTGAAAGACATTAAAATGGAAGTTTAGTCGTACTTGCAGATTCTTCCATCAAGTATACATAATCTCTTACATCACTCATGTACCTCCTTAGAAACTTATGATCCCTCTTTATGTTTATTATTAATTTCTTGATTTCTTCCTCTCTGTAAATATAATAATGTTACAGTAAAAAGATGTTTAATATAGCTTACAATATAGCGAGTAAACCGACCTCACAGAGCCTAATAAACAATGTATGAAAATGTCTTGAGGTTCAATCTTTTCAAATGGTTTGATAATCATTGTTATTCTCAATATAATGTCCATCCTTTTGGTATAGGAATCAAAAGATATTCTAAAATAAAAGAATGGATATGTATCGCATCTAATGTAAAATATGTTAATACAAATTTTTTTTATTTATTACCTATCCCGAGTGATTTCCATCAAACTTAAATCTTCTAAACGTTTCAACTCGAACATGAAGTCCATGGCTAGCTTAACTTCTTTTGAAATATAATCCAGCATCGATAGGATGGTTTCAGAAGTGTTATAAAGACTCATTACTTTGTTAACATCTAACTTTTCTAAAATTATTCTATGAACCATACTTATTAAATCATCCGCATCATCTGGTAAAATATTTTTAATTTAATATTGTTATCTATTTCTTAAAAGATGTTATTTATTGGAGTGATTCTACTATGATCTCACCTGCAAGGCGAGAAATTATCTTAATATCTTTAATAAATTGACTATCCTTGACATCGCAATCATCGCTTAAAAATATTATTGCCAATAGTGAGGAAGATATAAATCCTATTACGAACATTTTCCTCTCAATATTTTCATGGTATACTTCCCAAATAATTTCATCACTGAAAAAAGGATACAAAAATAATTATATTTTTTTTCTTATGTACCTACTCCAATTTTTTAATGTAACATACCTTTGAGCACAAACCCGCAATTCTTTTATCAATGAAGAAAACGGATCTAATTCAATTGTAATATCCTTCTCTACAAGAGAAAGCTGTATTTCTGAACTTTCCTTTACTACTTCTTTCATTGAATTTAATACATTTTCATCATTAGGCACTTTTATTTTATTATCAGATAGATGATCATTTTGAGAATGAACTTCAAGAATTTCTTCACAGGTATCACTTCTATTCAAAGGGACGGGTTCCATGGATTGATTCTCTCTATTAGAATTACTCTGTATATTCATATATCGAGGAACACTCACAATATTATACACAGAATTTCTTTCGTTATCACCTATTGTTGACGAAGAACTATTTAAATCTTGAATTTCCATATTAATATCATCTACCACTGATAATTGCAATTGTTCAACTTTACAAGTCCGTGTTTGATTATTTAATTCGGATTTTGAATTGATTGATTGATCATCTAAAGGTGGAGATTCATTGAAGCATTTTCTAGACTCATCTATGCCTTCTTCTAATACTACTTCTTGACTAAATTTTGGAGTTTCTTCACAATCAGTTACTCTAGATGTCTCAACACTTTTTAAAAGTGAACAGTCTTCTTTGTCTGCATTAATTTCCTGATTGTAATTAGTATTTGCAGATACACCTTCATCTGACAAATCATCTAAACAAATAAATGATGGTGGTTTAATCGACTCCAATTCCTCTAAAGATTGATTGAAGAATGAACCTCTATTTTCTAATAAAAATTGGTCAGAGCAATTATCTTTCGCTTCTGTATCATTATTGGTTGCTGGATTTTTACTACATTCTTTAAGACTGTTTATAAAAGAATTATCACTACTTAATGGTTTTATGATGTATGTTCTTCTAGGATGTGATACAATATCTTTTAAGTCATTGTGCTGCAAGCATTCATTTTCGTTTGCATGTGATGTTACAGTGTGCAAAGACTTATTTGATACTGAGTTAAACATAGCACAAGCTGCTTCTGCATTATTTTCATTTAAAGCTGAAGCATAAGTATCTTGTTCAACATGCAAGGCTGCATTAGTAGTAATATTTACTACATCCTGAGTTTTCTTGGTAAGTTTTTTATTAAGGCTGTCTTCCTCCGAATTATTTAGTGTATAGAGCATTTTATCTGGAGATTCACTGCACAGCAACATAGCACAAGCTGCTTCTGCATTATTTTCATTTAAAGCTGAAGTAATATTTACTACATCCTGAGTTTTCTTGGTAAGTTTTTCATTGTGGTTGTCTTCCTCCGAATTATTTATTGTACAATCCATTTTATCTGGAGATTCACTTGAGTTTAAGGAAGGAGGAACTACTAAAGCAGTTATATCTCTTAAGACATTATCAGGTACACTAGTTTGATTCAAAGAATTTGTAGAAAAAGACCTATTTTCAACATGTTTAGGTGATATTGTTTGTTTGATTACTGAAGTAGCCACAGTAGAATTTTCTTTTTGAAGTATTCTTTGTAATGGTAGTACAGCTTCAGTCAGTTCCATAATGGATGGTTCAGTAATTGTTGCTTCTTCTTTACAAGTATCCATCTTATTTGCAGATGATATAGTAGCTGTAATTGTCATTGAATTATTGTGAAATATCCTAGTTCTGTCTGATTCTAAATTCAAGTTAGCTGAATGCATTTTAATTACTGTTGATATGGCTGTAGTAAATTCCATTTCTTGATCATTATGCAGTACAGTTTTATCAAAATTTAGTAATTTCTTATAAGGATTTATACACTTCGAATTTTCTAAATTATTTCCCATTACAGAATAGGTATTAACTGCTTTAGTCATTTCCATACTGTTTTCATCCATGCGTGTAATATCATCTTTAGTTTGTGGAATTGTTTTTATCAATGATAATGTGTCATCTACTTTATCTTGTTGCATAAGACCTGTGTGAGTGTTCATTTCTATAGCTTCTGTCATTTCCATTGATACTTCCCGAGAAACATCAATTCCTTTATCAATTCCATAATAGTCTTCTTGCAAATTGTATGGTCTAGTTGGTACTACTGTAGTCATTTCCATTGAAATATCATTATATTTTTGAGTTGTGTTAAGGTTGAGATTTACAATATCTTGCTGAGAAGGTTTAACAGACTCTAAATACCGAATTGAAGTTGGAACTACCTGAGTTAATTCTAGCGAAGTATTCTGAAGTGACATTTCTATTTTATCTCTTTCAATACAATTTATATTAGAATAAATTTTATTACTAATCATTTCTGTAAACTCCATATGTGTATTTAAAATAGAAGTAGTATTCATTTTAACACAATTAAGATTATTTGCATCTGATTCTTGACAACTTACAACCTTTTTAAATACATTTACATTTGGATCCTCGTACACAGTGAAGCTCTTAGACATACAACGTTCACTATTCAATGGTACATCAGTTAAAAGTACAGAGTCATTTGCTTCTTCCACTTCATCATGAAATATAATAGAAGATGCGTTTGGTAATAGTTCTTTCTTAGTTGATGGAATACATGCAAGTTCTGTACATTCTACTAAGCTTTCATAAGGTGCTTCATAATCTGCTACAGTTAGATCTTTTTGTATTACTTCATTGGGTGCTAAGCATGCACTACTTTCCTTGACTATGTAATTATCAACAATTTCAGAATGAGTATTCACAAAATCGTTAATAATGTCTGCCTCTTCTATTTCTTTATGCACACTTTCAACATTACATGGTTCTTTGTCAGAAGAGAATGTTACTTTAATATTACTTAAATCATGTTCTTCGTACGTACTGTCCCATACAGTCCCTTGTTCCAAGGAATTACAGAATTCTCTGCACAATGAATCACATTATTACATTTTTGAATTCTACAGAACAAAATATGCATACAAAAAGCTAAACTCACTTCACATGTTTTTTCTCTGCAAAGCTGACACGTCTTTTAAGTTTTATTGTAGTTGCTGGACTACTCTCATTAGACGAACTATTGAAATTTAAGTTCTGTAGTGGTTGTCGTGGTTTCGGAGGCTTAAGTATCTATGTACATCATAGGAATAATAGTAATATTAGCTGTAGTTGCAAACAAGTAGATAAAGCCAATTGTTAAGTTTAAGCACAATGAATAAATGATTTATTTTGTTAATAAAAACTTTTATTGCAATGTATATGAAGCAAAACCAAACATTTATGTTAACCAATGTGAATTATATATTTTAAATATTTTAATATACTTACAGAAGACCGCCTTGACCTACTTCTAGTTCTTCTAGTGGGAACCCTATAAAATAGACACAAAATGGTACCAGAGTATCATTTAATTTCCTCAGAATTTAAGTTTTATTTGTAAATAGTATTAACACGTTATTGCAACTCATCATAATTTAAGACTTAGCAGTTCTATATCAGATTTCTAATATCCCTTAATATTTTGTTATTTAATATTTTCACCGTAACTTTGAGGAAAAACTGTATGGAAATGCGTTGAGATGCAATTCTTAATATTAAAAACAAAGGAAGATATACTTACATTTCATTATACCTGATGCATTCAATTCAAATTCAAACGGAATTTGGAAGGCGTCGTCTCGTCAACAAACTTTACCAACCAGTATTCGCGCCTGACTATCTATATATACTGGGTAATTTTCATGAATGTCAGAAACTATTATTGCGATAGCAGCCAAACTGGTACATATCGAACCGAAGAAAACATACTTGAAAACCGGGTTTTATCGAACCATAAATAAATCGTAATCTACAACCAATGATAAGTCGCCAAATATGTGATTTCATTTAGTGACGCTTATAAAAATATATCAACGATTAAATACTTGTTCATATTTTCCCATAGTCGTGCTATACTATCGTTCAATCTGTTAGTATTCGGTGTTTAAATAAATAAATAAATATACAGTGCTGCTAGTGTAAATCAGCAGGCCAATCTAATAAATAAAAGAACGTATTGTATACATTTTCGAAGCCACAGTAGTATCAATTTGCCTCGGTAGCATCGTTAATTAACACTGTCTAAGTAAGTGACAGTGGAAGGCCAGCTGATTGTGGGAAATTGCAAAGGTTGAATTTAACAATAATGGAAGGCGTTGCTGTGAAACTAATAATAAAAACACCCAATCAGCAAATTAAAGACCAAGTTGTTAAATGTGATATCGGATGGACCATTGGTCGATTAAAAGAATATTTATCCGAAGTTTATCCTAGCAAACCAGTGAGTTCATTTACTTGTGCTAGTAAATTTATTCGTGTGAAATTTTGTGAAAGTTCCTCTTGATTGTCAGTGAAAGCGAAATGTACGTTTATCGTCGCTAATCAAGAAAAACTTTAGTATCTCCAACTTCATTTGTTTTTGATAGTCTCAGATGAAAACGTTCGCAACTCCTTATCATTTTTATGATAACACTAATTTTTTCCATGAAATTTCATGAGATTTTGTTTTGTTGTTGATAAAGTAATATTCTGCTTGTTTACATCATGCATATCTCTATCTTGTATTACTTACGTCTTATTTACATGATTATAATTGATTTATATTCATAGGAAAGAGCAAGTCAAAAGCTTATATATTCAGGACAGTTATTGAACGATTCTACGTTATTGAAAGATGTTTTAAGAGAATGTGATGGACAAGAAGATCAAGCTTACACTGTTCATTTAGTTTGCACTTCACAAAAAACATCTACACAAAAAGTAATGTCAGAGCAAATGAAAGAAAGTCCAAGTGCGGCTGTAAGAAATACAGCAGAACACACAAGATTAAATAATGCAAATAATATGCAAAATGTGGGTCAAAATATTAATAATCCTACTGTGCAACATACTCCTACACAATTGTATTCTACCCAGCAATATTTCGATCCAAGGAATAGTCAACAAATGGCATGGATGCAACAGGCGTACACACATTATTTTACCCAGTACATGCAACTGTAAATAAATTTGTATTATTATTTGTTTATTGAATATCAATACTATATAATAATAAAACATTATGTTTTGTTATAGCATGGCGGCACAAGGAATCCCACTACAAACTAGCATTCCATATGTACAACAAATGAATGTTAATACCAATGATAGTGTTCAAAATTCATATGGAAATAATATCAGCAATAATAATAACAACAACAATAACATTATCAACAACAACAACAATAATAATAATAATAACAATAACGTAGGTGATGAACAGCAACAACCTGCTGCACAAGATGCTGATATTAATGGTGGAAACAATGGTGCTGGAGAGGATGGTGCATTTAATATAGATTGGCTAGATTTTTCTTATACCCTGTCCAGAATAATTGTTCTTTTCAGTATTTTATATTTTTACTCATCTCCTCTAAGATTCCTTATTGTTACATTTCTTGGCTTTGCGATGTACCTGTAAGTTCATAAATTTATAATTTACATAAATGAAGTGCATAAGTTAAGGAGAAATACTAATAGACCTAATACTTTGCAGATATCAAGGTGGTTTCTTCCGAGTGCAACCTCTTCCTTTACCTGAGAATAATAATGGTAGAGTAGATAGAGTAGACAATAATAATCAAGTGTTACAAAATGAAGCTATGGGTCCTCAGCCTGTAGCGCAGCAACAAAATGGTCAAGTACCAACGGCACAAGCAGAAGCTAGAACAAACGCGAACGAAGAACACGAAGAAGAAAGACCTGGGGCACTTGCTTTGACTTGGACATTTTTCAGTACATTTTTTGCATCTCTTATACCAGATCAACCAAATGTTATATAATTTTTCGAGTGTTAATCGTTTGCACTCGTTTTTGTTGTAAAGTTAATTTTCTTGTTGAAACAGTTTTTAAAATGTAACACTGAACCCATGGAGGTGGTCTCTTTATAGCATAAAAATTTGATAAATATTAAGAATGAAGTCAACATCATTAGATATTCTAAAAATGATTTTTATAGACCATCACTTTGAGAAAGTTTTATGGAATTTTCAACATAAGGCTCTTGTATACAGTAATACATATAATAATAAGTATACATATTATACATATGCTTAAAATAAATGACATTTTTATAGATATTTCGATTGGTATATGCAAACGTTTAAGTATGATATTAAATCATTGAGACTACCCCAAGGTTTACTCATAAAATGAACAATCAATGATTATTCTGTAGTAGGTAACTTTAGCTTCAATTTAATAAGAAATTACTAATAATCATCCCAAAGTATTTAGGATTTGTTGTATAATAAAATTTCTGTTTTTGTAGTTACATAAAGATACAACGACAAAAAATATATACTGTGTATATAAATAAATTATTGTAGAGCTTGTAAGGTACTGATAAATATAAAAATCAAAAAGGATGGTAGTAAAATTTAAAGTTTGCCCATTTTGTTTATAAGTTGCTACAAAAATAAGATTCATTATTTCTGTAATTTTTTTAATGTGGATATATTTTCGAATGCACCTTGTACAATGTAACTTCTGAGCCTTGCTT